TGGTGTGGCAGCGTTCGTCTGGCATTCAGTGAACAAATGTCACATGAAGGATCTCGCCCTTGTCTTTACTACAGCAAGGACAACTGCGCGACGACGAATTAAAATCTGACAACACCACCATAGCCTCAAGAGTGCGGTAACTTTTTGACTGCTCAACACTGGGGACCGGCAAGATATATCATCATGAAGGCTATCGTTGAAAGCGCAGCAGTTGTCACGACAATACCAAAGAAGTAAAACTCATGGCTGAAACAAGGCAGTGAATGCCTCTTGAAAGCAAGGGGGAAAGCACGGCCTAAGTGGAGGATCTCCAGGAAAGAATCCGATTATGCAGCGTATAAAGCCCTAAGAAATGGGTGCAATACCAAGGTGAGGGGAAACAGGGGGTCGTTCTAGATAAACCTCACCCTAACATCATCATCTGGTGTGCCACAACGGGCTATTCTGGATTCTCGGTTATTGCTACTTTTCGTGAACTACCTTCTATTGAGTCTCAGGTCCCCAATTTTACTCTACGCTGACGATGTTAAGTTATGGATAGCTGTGACACCCAAGGCAGAATCAAGTGCACTGCGAAGTGATCCCAGATCACTTCTAATGTGAATGGATAATGACGGACCAGCATTTAATCTGGACAAGTGCCTAACCTTGTTTCTCCGCATCCTTGACCCTCAGAAAGTACCCTATTCGCTCTCTGGAATACAACTTTCCCACACCATCATAGAGAAAGGCATAGGAATAATACTCACCGGCAAGCTGGACACTAGCTGGAAGTGCCCGGGAGATGCCTCCAGAGCCCACGCAGTAGCGCATTTCGCGCGCTCACTCTGTACAAGACCCATATACGACCTCACTGAGAGACCTACAACGTCATTGCACCACCAAAACCTGAAAAGAGATGTGAACCTCCTAGAGAAAGTCTGGAGGTGAGTAACAAAGGGTGTTGTGGGAATGAGGCGAAAACATTGGGAGGACGGAGTGAAAGGCCTGGGACTCTACTTTCTTAGCCACTGCAGATTACGTGGTGATTTGAAAACGGCCACCGTGGCGATCCTCATGGTAACCCAAGGAGAGCCTTGCACCAAAGGGTGAGAATTCCACTGCCACACCTCAACACAGGGAAGAGACTAGAGAGAGAACTAACTTCTTTTCCCACAGAGTATGTACCTTATGGAACGCTTTGCCGAGGGAATTGGTCACAGCTATATCAGTTAACTCCTTCGAATGACTACTGGATGAGTATGTGAGTGCAAATGTCTTACCACGAACATTTGTCGGTAACAACCAATGATACACCCTTCCGCCCCCGTATTCTCTAGCCCTAGCACCTACAATAAGATGCACCTCTCCTCCGTATTATTACCAGCTATATTTATCCGTTCTCAAGTGCTTTTCACTCCCCTTTTTCTCATTCCTCACTCATCTTAAGTAACGCTTAACACTCACTTGCAGGTGCCTACAAGAAAAGGGATTGCAAACAACTGATTGATCTTATCAGCAGCTCCGTTGCCACCCCGAAAAAGAAAAGAAGCTACAATGTGCAGATGGAATGCCTTCAAGTAAACAAACACTGCCTCTAAAGCTAGAAGCGGGAAAACCCAAAGACTTCCACCATCAAAGGAGTGCAAGTGAACAAAAAGAACCGAGCCTCAGGACCTAGAAGCGAGGGCTCGAAAACTACGAGCTTCCTCTACTCGCACTATCGATGTTGGATTACGCAATGTATCTGATACATTCCCTAGAGAATTAAAGATAAGCGAGTGCAGACGCGGGGAACAAAGGCAGACTGAGAGGCGATTCAAACGCTTACCGTTGGCCAACATACACCCAACGGTAGAACGGCTGGATGACGGGCAAGAGCATTTATCGACCTTGTCCCGGATCGAAGAACCCGCACCAGTTCTCAGCCAAAGAGATCAGTGGATATAGTAGCCCTTGGTTCCACCGCCCCACTAAAAAACTTGTCAAAGCCAGCCATTTAGAGGCTGGCAACTCATGCCTAACTCAACCGGTTACTGGGGCCTCTGGCCCTCATGGTCTTATTCGCTGTACCTTCAGCAATGTACAAGGCCTACGCCTCAAGGTACCTGAGTTAAGTTTATTGGTGGATGAGGAAAGTCCCAGCATAATAGCTTTCTGTGAAACATGGCTATCAGAAAACATAAAAGACGAGGAAGTTCGTTTAGGACAGCTTAGCCTAATCCAAAAGGATAGACCGGAGGGTCCAGGAGGTGGCGTTGCTCTTTACACCTGCCCTTCCTTAAAAGTCCATGAGATCCAGTCTCACAGAATTGGCATTAAAAATGTCCTCCGGTGTAGCATTAAGTGCCGCGGAGGTCGTTTAGTTGGGGTTCTATACCGCCCTCCTGCAGCCGATGCCACGCTAAATAAAATGTTAATGCAGTCCATTAGAGGAGCCCTGGAACTGAACTTTCCACAGGTCCTCATTATGAGAGATTTTAACTTTCCTCAACCTTTACCACAGAAAGTCCATCTACTGCTCTGAAAGACTTTCGGGAATTGTTACTGGAAAACTCCTTGACAGAACATGTTTCCCAGTGTACTTGCTGGGTGCCCGACGGTAAGACACCCCGACTAGTTTATATTTTCACAAATCAGTTCATTTGGGTAAGCAACTTGAATGTTTTCAGCCCTCTTGGCCTGAGTTACCATGCAGTTATCTCCTTCAATATTTCTGTATCTAAGCCACCCGCTCCCGATCAGCCTCCAGTTGGGAATTATATGAGGACTGATTTCTAGAAGGTTCGGCAAGATCTAGAAGGTTCCGCTTGCTCAAACTGCCATGACCTGCTGGATCTTGATGCTAGATGGGGTCTGTTGAAGAATGTAATCCTACAGACGATAGAAGACAACACTCCTCTGATTCCAAGAAGAACTAACAAGTTCTACTACTCCTGGCTTAAGTCTAGCACGTGCGAACTAGTACGGCGTAAACGGTACACTTGGAATCTATGGAGGTGCACTAATAGCCCTTTTGACTGGCTAAATTATAAAGATATCCGTAACAAATGTTCAGTAAGGATCAGAACTGACAGAATAAACCACCAGACACAACTTTGTGGTACCCTGGAGGGGAATCATGGGATACTGTACTCGTTGATGAAGCAGAAGAGTAACAGTTCACTAAGTTTACAGGACCCCATTAGTTTGGAGATTCTCTATTCCAACTCCGAAGTTGCAAACCTACTAGCTCATGAGTTCCGAAACAACTGTCATTTGGGAGACAAAACCCCGCCCCCGTTGGACACCCGTATCACAGACGGGCTAAATCATACAGAGTTTGAACCCCTGTAATTATGGAAATACTAAAGAAACTGAACCCGAATAAGTCTCCAGGAATCGATGGTATTCACCGAAGGGCACTCAAAGAGTGTGCTGAAGGTCTGTGTGCCCCACTAGCGAACCTCTTCAAATGCTCGCCTATGGGAGGCAGGTTACCCTCTGATTGGAAACTAGTGGCTGTCGTCCCAATTTATAAAGGCGGAAACAAACTACTCACCTCCAACTACAGACCAATCTCCCTGATCTCTTCAGTTGCGAAGTCATGGAGAGCGTCATAAATGACTCACTACGTGATCACTTACTTCGGAAATCAACCCTAAACTACTGTCAGCATGGCTTTCTACCAGGAAGGCCATGTAACACCAACTTGTTGATAGCTTGGAATAGCTGGACAGTCTCCGTCGAGAAGGAAAAGCCCATACACGTTGGTTTACTTGACTTTTCGGAGGCCTTTGACAGAGTAAATCATGATTTCCTTTGTAAGAAACTCCAGCTCATGGGTGTGCACGGAAAATTAGTAATCTGGCTTGGAGATTATCTGTACACCAGGGTGCAGTCAGAGTCGGCTCCTCTCTATCTGATTGGTTCCTAGTGCTAATTGGTGTACCCCAAGGTTCTAACCTGGGCCCACTACTGTTTCTTACTTTTATCAGTGACCTGCCAGGGGTTCTTAATTCACATTACTATTACATGCCGATGACCTGAAGATCTGGAGGGAAATACAGGGACCACGGATATTTCGATCTTCCAGGGGGACCTTACGAATATCTTCAATTGGACTACAGAAAACCTGCTTCCTCTCAACTCGAAGAAGTGTCAAATTATGATAGTTGACAAACATAAAGGCAGTCCCAGTTCTTACTCTCTGGGTGAGATAAATATCTGTCACGCTAACATGGAACAAGATCTGGGAGTTACACTAAATGATTCACTAGGAGTCTCTGTCCACTGTCGCCTTGCAGCCAATAGGGCTTATGGAATCCTGGGGTTTCTCTCGCGAACCTTAGGGTGTCTAACTCCTTCTCTTCTCACCACAGTGTATGCTCTGTACATTCGTCCTCATTTAGAAAAAAACTCGCTTGGGATGTCCCCATACTTGAAAAAGGACACAGATATCCTAGAACGGGTACAGAGAAGAGCTACAAAGAAAGTGACCGGGTTAAGGCACAGACCGTACCCAGACCGCTTAGTTGCTCTTCAGCTGCATCCAGCACAACACCGGAGGATCAGAGGGGATATGATCATGATGCACCACATCGCCCATAATCCCCTCCATCCCAACAAATCCCTTCTAAGCTTTAGTCGGAAACGCGACTTGAGGGGTCACCAGTTAAGAATAGAGCATGAGAGAGCACGTACAAAGATGCGTGCTAACTCCCTCCCTTAGGCAGTTGTTACAGCCCGATCCCCTGATACCTTTAAAAGGAGTCTAGACGCACAACTCGAGTCCTACGGTACCGATGAGCTATACTCAAGAAGCTTTCCCCAGATCGTATGCAGTAATACTAACTTGAGACCAGATTAATTAATTAATCGTATCTCTATTCTCTCAGGTTTTTCAGAACTGGGAAGATAATTGTGACTACTCCAAACTCAAAACGTATTCCAATAAGACAGACGTAGAACCCAAGGAACCGCAGTCCGCTAATTCTACAACAAGAAGTTTGAAGTATGAACCGGAGCGCGGGAAGTTTGGGATGGACGCTCCCGACTGCTGTAAGTCTGAGTTGATGGAAGTTGTCGAGAAACGAGTAGTTTGTCGTGATAAGATAGTGGCATTACACAAAAAATATCTTGAAAAAGCTTTCGCTTCAGTTGTGAGGTTTAAATTTTGAAAGTGAAACTAACTTAGGATTCAGACAAAAGATGCAACGACCGTAAGAACTGAAAGCGAAGATCAGTTCCTTACAGATATCCCGCACATAACCTCTCCTCATATATCTTTTGGCAGGCATCAATTGAAAAATATCAGCGAGGTAAGTTTATTGAATAATGAAGTGAATGAGCAGGATGAGAAATGTTTATTAGATCATTTTGGAGCGCTCAATTCTCTTGAGTGTGCTGGTGATAAGCTTTTTCACTGACAATGTGATCTTACTGGTAAGATTCTCGAGTTGCTCTTATGTAACTTATCAGGATATCATAGATCACTTATAATGAAGATATCTCACGTCGAACCATTGTCCTGTCTTGTTATTGGCAGTGTGGAATCGCCTTGCTGGATTTTGGATTGTCATACCTGGACTAATAATATTCCTTGTACTTTTCGTCTGCAAAAGTTTTTTGTGCTTGGGGAAACTTCCGTGTCCATGTGGAACTGTTCAGCATATGGAATATATGCTAGTTCACCTAACAGTCGGTTACTGAGAAACCACGGCGACTCAAGACCATTAGTGTGCAAACGACTTCCAGTAACCACCCAGAATCACAGGGTGACTAGAGACTGAACTTTGTCATCAGGAATAATGATTGCAGCTCTTGGTGGACACTTTCAAGAAGAAAACAAGACCTTCACAGAGATATATTACATGGATTAACAGGCTTTCGATCTAATACCCTCAGTACTAAAGACTGAGTTTGTAGTATTTTTTAATGTAAAGTATGTCTAAAGTTTTGGCAGCCAAAACTGAAGCTTATTGGTCAATAAGTGTGCTGTTTGTGAGATGCACCTACAGGGCCCAAATGTGGACATTCCGTTAACTTCCCCCTCCAAACGTGTTGAATCTACGCAATCCACTTTTCGAGTTTCCAGACATCCGTTGACTGCTCATGGTGTTACGTGTAGGTATTGTTTCGTGCTAAGACAGCGGACTGCTAATCTGAATCCTAGTTGACAATCACACCTGCGCTGTTCGAATGAATGATGAAGTGAAGACTGTCGTGTCTCTGGTTTCTGCGTACGCATCCACGTGCTTCATTTTGGATGGTATGAAAATAAGTCCTACTAAAAATGCCAAACTTCCTGCTGAAAGCCAAACATTTAGATACTGTTATTGTAGCAGACGATTTCAGTGCACAAGTTGGTAGGCTAGGCGAAACGGAGCGAAATCTCAGCCTAACGAATGGATAATGGTGATTACTTATTACAGCTGAGCTCAAGCAACCTGACTACCATTAGATCCAGACATACGAAGAGAGTCAGTGTCTGAAGTGGTTTACAAGGGACATCAGGGGTGTACACTTGAACAATATTGCTACTAGTTATCATGTTTAGTCGATAGAAGAGTGGTGCCTTCTCAGACGATCGTGCGTTGGTCTCAGCACATTTATGTCTGTGTCTAAGTGGACGGGATGGAACTGTAGTGACAAGACTGTTGCGAGCACATCTTGACTACGGGAATATTGAGGCTGCCTTCAGTAAGAAACTAATTAGGTAGCCATCAAAAAAGAACATCACACCTCCAAACTAACGCTAATACCTTTTCCGGTTTTTTGTAAAAGCAGTGTTAAAGGACTGTAGCTGACTTTCAGAGTGGTTGGGACATGTAATGCATATGCCTTCTCACCATCTACCCCGTTGATGATTGTGAACGGAAATACTTTAAGGCTGGTAAAAGTTAAGGGTCCCCAGAATAAAATTTAGTATCAGTCCATGGATTCTTTGATTGTTAGTTTGGGCCATGTAGAAGGATTTAAACATCCCATTTGGCGTCCTAAATAGTTGGTTGGAGACTGTAATTAATATGGTTTGGAATCGATGTCAGTGGCACAGATGTATTTACACATTCCTGTTTCAGCCGTCTTGCTGAATTTCATTATTGTTTAAATACATCTTATTCAGTTTTCGCAACTTTTTATCATTTGACTAGTGTCTTTCTTATTTCTTGACTTTGTTGCTTTCTGGCTCGATGTACTTTGGAATTTAAAACGTTAGCTTTCGCATGCGTAATGCAAACCTGCCCACACCCAACTATAGTACACTCGATTTTTCACAAACTAATTTCATGGTGGCCACATAGGTGGTTCAGATTAGGATATTTCCCTCTGGCATCCAATCTCACACAGAGCATCACCAATGACAACGAAAATACCAAGAAGGATTAACTTCACTATTACTTGTAACGGCTCACAAAAACGTGAGTGCCAGTACAAGCTTCTGCCAATATCGCAGAGATTTTGTGCACTTCAGTGCAATAAACATATTAAACAAAAACGTGATACAGATAAGCGTAAAATAAACAGGTGTTTAACGATGTACACAAAATCTCTGCGATATTGGCAGAAGCTTGTACTGGCACTCACGTTTTTGTGAGCCGTTACAAGTAATAGTGAAGTTAATCCTTCTTGGTATTTTCGTTGTCATTAGTGGTGCTCTGTGTGAGATTGGATGCCAGAGGGAAATATCCTAATCTGAACCACCTATGTGGCCACCATGAAATTAGTTTGTGAAAAATCGAGTGTACTATAGCTGGGTGTGGGCAGGTTTGCATTACGCATGCGAAAGCTAACGTTTTTAAATCCCAAGGTACTCAATAGCTCTATTTCATGTTTGAGCTATGTAAGAAATTCTGGGGCTCAGTGGAAGTTGTTTTGGCCTAATGCATATAATTATTTGATATATAAGGCCATATTGAAAGCTTAAAAGTGTTACTCATGACATTCCGATAGTTTCTGCATTTTTCACTTTCCAATACCTTACCTGAAGTTGAATGGACTAGCGACATTATCGTTTGGAATTGCTTTCAGAGTGCATCTGCTTTGACGATGTTTGCGATATTTATAGCACTGAAATACTAGTGCTTTCGCAGCTTATTCCATGTACGGCTACTGTGAGGTTTGTGCTTATAACTATTATTACGTTGTCCTGCTGTTAACGTTTGAGGGGTTATTTAAAGTTTGTTGGAATTTTGAATTGGTGGCAACCGTGTGTGATAACAGCGTATGATGTCTTTTAGTTCGACTCATTACGAAAATGTAGGCTTCTGCGTTTGATTTCATGAGACAGTCGATATCGATGGTCAGATTGCGTAAATACTTGGTTTTATTATCGGACCGCTTATGCCTCTTCGTTTAGGGTGTCGTATCGCTCCTGCTTTTCTTTTATCCTATTGGTAATACCTATTTTATTCCCATGTCTTCTGTTATAATAATCTCTCGTTTAGAAAATGATCTAAAGTGTTACAAATCGAATCATTGTGCAGTAATCTGAGATTTTTTTTTCCTATTGCCTGCCTGCGATCGTGCTTGCCATCTTTGTTTCCGTCAATACAAGGCAGCATTATGAAAATAAATGTAAATGTTTAACAATTTACATTATGAACCTGCTTACTTGGTCATGTTTCTCTCTTCTCACCATTTACGCTTTTATAATATTATCGTATTATTTCTTGTGAAGCTATGGCTTATTGTTGTAGGCAGTCGATTTTCAACCAGTGAGTCGTAAGTTGGAATCCTGCTCTTTTCATCGAGACAGTTATTACTGTCAAACCGCACGGAAGGTGAGGCTAATTGTGCAAGAAAATGCACATGGTACTTGGCTTATATTGTCTTAATATGCCCATCTTGTTACTTTTTTGTGCTAAACTCGTATATATTTTATACAACGCTTTTAGTGTTTGTGGTGGGTGGTTCTCACGTAAAGGGGTGTGGTTTCAAGCGAATATCTTTCAATCTTCACTTTCTAACCTAGTTCCACAAAAGACTAATGTATTCTCTACCACAGCCGAAAATAATGTGTCGCTTGAACAAGCGTGGAACAAGCCGTAATTGTTTTCTGAGACTTCCAAAGATTAGTAATTATTTAGTGATTCAGTATTAGACGTTTTGTGTATTCTTGAAAGTTACGTTTGATTTTAATTGGGCTCATATGTATTTTTGACTACCTTAGTTAGTTAGTGTCATTTGAGATCTGGCAATACCTCATTACGGTCTAAGTCGTCATACATCACACCATCACATCAAGAAACTTGGCAACAAAAGGAACAGAAAAGGAATGTAAATAATATCATGAGAGCTGCGAACCGAAATAAAAAGTTGATTAGCGTAAAGTTGGGATGGGATGTAGCGATTTACGAAATAAGGTGTGGATGCACGTGCTTCACCACTGAGCAATACAACTTAGAGTTACCAACCACTAATTCTAAGTTGTCATGTTGACTCCTACAATGAAGTCTACAATTCCGTTCACAACTCATGTCAATAGTGAGAGGTTTGATAAACTAGTACCATTCTTTGAACTGCTTACACTGGTTTTTTCCCCAATATAGCCATAATTCAAAGAACTTGGTTCTCTGAGGTGGATGGTGACTAGGAGTGCGTAACACATGTCGTAGCCAGCTAATTTGATATGGATTTACAAGCTGATTAGGTGGACTTCATCTGTCAGCTGAGACCCTACTCCTGATGTGTAGGTTTTTGATTTGTTAGTTTTACAACAGACAGTCGATGCTACTGAGGCAAGGGTGGTGGAGTGACAGTGACGTTTTTATGTGTTTCAGTTTTGATGGCCACGTTTCACAGGTACACAGTAAAACCGAGTGAACGGAGACACAGTTGGCTGATTGGCCAGCCCCCTCATATTTATCCGTGATAAGTATTCGTTGTCCATCAACCGAAGAGGATGATTAAACTTTGCAGGTGAATATGAAGTAGTTAGCTGCTTTTCCTCTTTTTGCTGGATGAGGTACTAATTGAGACCTATTCTGAAGCAACAGTCTGCATTTGAAAGGTAAGAAGCGCACCCCCAACTTTATGAAGTTCTCGCATATTTGAAAAACTTACTGTTTCATCAGGTCATCACGTGACTTTATTGTGTTGTATTCTAACCCGATCGATCAACAAGTTTCGTCTGACGAGTTCAAACCTTGTGATATAAGACAGGAATGAGGAGTTTCCACAAACATCTGTGAGAAAATGCTAATAAAAGTTAGGGGATTATGCATCCTTGATGGATGCCACAAAATGTGGATATCTCAGAGAATTGTTCGCCATGGGCTCCGACTCAACCGTTCGCATTAAGTTATGAAGTGTTCAGTGAGGTGATATACTTTCGGAACAGCTTTTCAGGGAGTAATAACTATGCAAAACATCGCGAACAGTGATGTATTACAGAACACGGACGTAATATCGAAGAAAGCGTTTTTGTGACAGTTACATGTACTAAAGATGCGCAACTGTATTTGAGAGACTGACAAATGTGGAAGACGGTTGACCATTTGGGTTGATTGCTAGTGTTTTGCATCATTTCCTTGTTCGGTAGCATCACATTTCATTTCATCTTCATTCTGTGGAATCGCTTTCATCCTCCAACTCCAACAGTAGTGAAGGATGATGACCGACCGATAGCTGCTACCTTGACGTGGTGGTCGGGCTTGCATATCACAATGACCCAACGAGCTATGCTGGTGGAACGCTTGTTCCCTCGAGGTCCTACCATACCAGAAAGGTCTGTTGGGTAGTGGTTAGACGAAAAGCAGTTACCGTCATAGTGTAAATTGCTACACTATGATGGGGGTCTGAGGGCGAAGTCGTACTGCTGCTAGCTGGATGGGGTGTGACAGCAGTAAGGTGTTTCCCTTGGATGACCAGCAGTGCCAAGCTGATGCTGCCTTCTCAGTGGAAGGGGGGGTTAGAAAAGGTCGGCCCCAAAAATAACACACTCCACCACGCCCCACGGTCTGCCGGGCCGGCGGTGTTGGTTCACTTGTCGTTTCCTTTCGCTCATCCGGCCCCAAAAATACAAAAATTCAAAATAATCATACTCAAAAGGCTGGGTGTGACAGGCCTCAAGCAGATGTCCGATGGGCTCTGCGGTCACACAAATCTCTTTCAGGTACCTTAAGAAGAAATAGCCTTCCACGGTGTGGGCAGCCGGGAAGTGTCAACCGCCCTCACAACTCTGTCAGCACCCAAGTTTCTTCTGACTGCTATCCTCCTCCTCCATCATTACCTTCTAATCTTCCTTCACGTCTCTTAATTAATGATGCTGCATCATCTTCAATTTCTCCTACCTCTGCAGCCTTCGACAACGATCTGAGTCCACAGAACAGTGTCCCTGGTCTCCTTAAACCACGCTCCAAATTACATATTGGAGCCTTCAATGTCCGCACCCTCCGTCAAATTGGCCAACAGGCTTCGTTGGCAAAGACTCTAGCAACTCGGGCATGGATGTGTGCTGTGTTTGTGAGACACGCATACAGGACCCAAGTGTGGTTATTCACCTGACCTCTCCTGACCAATCTGGTGAATCTGCAAAATTCACCCTTCGAGTTTCTGGAGATTCGATAGCTAGCTCTCGTGGTCTTGCAGGTGTAGGTATAGCATTAAGCACCAGGGCAGAAAACTCACTACTAGACTGGATCCCAGTTGATAGTCGCCTCTGCGCTATGAGGCTGAACGGCACAGTGAGAACTAAAAGGAATAGTGAGACTCGCCGTTGTCTCTTTGTAATCTCTGCTTACGCACCCACTGACTGTAGTTCGGATGAAGTGAAGGACGAGTTCTACCATAAACTGTCTAACCTCCTCTCGAAAGCCAAACGTTCGGACGTAGTGGTTGTTGCAGGTGACCTCAACGCACAGGTGGGTAGACTGAGTGAGGCAGAAAGGCACTTAGGTGGCACTTTCGGAATCCCAGCTGAACGTACAGATAACGGTGATCGCCTATTACAACTATGCTCAGATAACCGCCTATTTTTAGCCAGCACAAATTTCAGACATAAAGAAAGGCACTGTCTGACCTGGCGTCCACCGAGCTCGACTCAGCGATGGACACAGATAGACCACATTGCTATTAGTCATCGCTGGAGAGGATCGGTGGAAGACTGCCGCTCCTTCTGGAGTACGTGTTTGGACAGCGATCATGCGTTGGTCCGAGCACGTATATGCCTGCGTCTCAATGGACGTAGAAAAAATTTGGCAACAAAACCACTACGAGTTCTGCTGGACAACGAAAACACCAAAGCCGTGTTCAGTGAGAAGTTGGCTAGGCAGTTATCGGAACAAAAGACTGTCACTCATCCAGAAGAAGCTTGGTGCCATCTTCAGTCTACTGTAAAAGCAGCACTGGAGACTGTAGCCGACTCCAAGATAATGGCTAAAAAGAGCCAGTGGATATCAGCAGCTTCTTCCAAACTAATGGATGCACGTGAATGCATCCCTGCAGGCTCTGAGTACAATGAAGAGCGAGCGCAACTTAAAAATAAACTGACGAAAAGTCTGCGCAACGATCGTGAACAGTGGTGGGCAGCAAAGGCTAAAGAGATGGAAAAGGCAGCGGCGATCGGTAACAGTAGACAGTTATTTAGACTTATTAAGGAGACTGGGGGGAAATGGTCAACAACAGTTAGTGAGGTTATAGCGGAGAAGGACGGATCGGCGATTCACTCGCAGGGAAGGCGACTGGGACGATGGGCAGAACACTTTGAGGAACAGTTTAACTGGCCTCCAGCCACCATTGCGCTGCCCGCTATCCAGTCGGACCCTGAATGGGACATAGAGACAGGTCCCCCAACACTAGAAGAAGTTGAGAAAGCGGTAGGTAGCCTGAAACGGGGAAGGGCAGCAGGACCAGACGGACTACCTGCTGAGGTATACAAGAATGGTGGTAGAGTTCTCTTAGTCAGGCTAACGGAAGTGTTAGCCAGTATATGGGAATCAAATACGATCCCCTCCGACTGGTCTAAGTCACTGATCATCCCAGTCTTCAAGAAAGGCGAGAAGTCCTCTTGTGATAACCACAGAGGAATCAGCCTGACAAACATAGTGTCTAAGATCCTAAGTTCTATAATTCTCCGACGCCTGAGTGGAGCTCGGGAACAGCAAGCCCGAGAAAACCAGGCAGGCTTTAGACCTGGCCGTGGATGTATCGACCAAATATTCACACTGCGCCAGGTCCTGGAACATAGGCATGCTTACAGACGCCCGACAATAGCTGTATTTCTCGACCTGAAGGCGGCATTTGACTCCGTTGATCGAGAAGTCTTATGGCAGTGTCTGTCACTGAAAGGCGTGCCTAGTAAGTACATCACCTTATTGAAAGCTCTCTACTCGAACACTTGTGGGCATGTTAGAGCCTATGGTGAGTTGTCCAGGGAGCTATACTCATCAAGTGGTGTCCGTCAAGGATGCCCACTATCCCCATTCTTATTTAATTTTATCATAGATATTCTTATGGAGGTTTCCCTCTCGTCACCTAATTACAAAGACGTTGACCGGATCACAGGTGAATTTTCCTTAGATCTAGAATATGCAGATGACATAGTCCTGTTAGGTGAAGACGCTGACAAGATGCAGAGTCTTCTGAACACTTTGAGTGGGAATTTGAGAATGTTTGGGATGCGATTTTCACCACCCAAATGCAAATTTTTGCTCCAGGACTGGTCTTCAGCGGTACCGCGGTTAACAATAGAGAGTGAAGTGGTTGAGTGTGTTGACCACTTCACTTACCTGGGAAGTAGGATCAACCCGGTGGGTTAGTTGCCGATGAGATTTCTGCACGGATACAAAAGGCTCGATTGGCTTTTGCCAATTTGCGCCACCTATGGCGCCGCCGTGATATTCGTTTGTCTATTAAGGGTCGCGTGTACTGCACAGCAGTCCGCTCTGTTCTACTGTATGGCTGTGAAACATGGCCATTGAAAGTGGAAGACATGAGAAGGTTACAGGTATTTGACCACCGTTGCCTTCGTAGTATAGGACGTATTCCGTGGTGTCACCATGTGAGTAATGCAGAAGTTAGGTGTAGAGTTTTAGGGAGAAGAGGTAAGTCAGTCGACGAGGTTGTGAACCTTCATCGACTGAGATGGTTGGGACACGTACTACGTATGCCTAGTCACCGATTGCCTCGTCACACAATGTTGGCTGAGGTGGGTTCAGGCTGGAAAAAGGCCCGAGGTGGCCAGACTAAAACATGGCACCAATGTATGAAGTCTCTGACTGTTGGTTTAAGCCATGTAGGACGATGCAGACTAGGTGGTTGGGGTCCACGGGACAAGAGGAACCAGTGGTTGGAGACCCTAGGTGATATGGCTCAGAACCGAAGTCAGTGGCGCAGATGTATACACACATTATCCTCATCTTAACAACGCTATACCGAATCTCACTATTTTGTCACTCCTCTTTCCTTTCTTCTCATACTTTATATTTCTTTTGACTGCATTCACTTATCTTCATCCTTCACCTCACTACCTTTTTACTTGATGTGCTGATATGAGGTGTGGCAACTCGGACCGTTACGCAGTAATGCCTGGTCCTATGTTGATAATGATGATGATGATGAAGGATGATGAATGGCAGCTCTTCTGGGTTTTTTTTATCGCATGGTGTTCCTTGTGCAATCTCGTGCACACCTCTCCTCTTCTCTCGAGAATGAACTTGTTTGTGTATATTATCTAATTTTAAGTTTGACGACTGTTTTCTAGCCTTCTAAAGGATTGTTTTATTTATTTATTCTGTCTGTTTACATAATTTTGGGAAAATAATGTATTTAGGAAATTTTTTAAATATAGTTTCGTTCATACGAGGCATTCTTTTTAATATTGGCGTATGTTTACTGTCATAACAGTCTATTCGCCGCGATAAAACATAGTTATGTTGAATCATCAAAGTACTTGTATAACGTAATACATGTATTGTCTTACAACTGCGTATAAAACTGTTAGGAGTCCTCTTTCGAAGTTCTCAATTGAACCTACCGCCATAGCAAACTATTTCACCGAGAATTATGTGAAAATTTCTATGACTAAACGTGACTTACTAATCGCTGTGCTTCCTTGGGGTATTTTATAAACAAGCCTGTCCAACTTCCTGCGATCAATATTGCTTATTGATTTCCTGAAGGTGGTTTGGATGGGTTTGTTCAGCAGGCTCCCAATTAGCGACTGATCATAATCGATGATAACATTGTCTTTGTAGTATGTGAACCACTCCCATGTTTTCTAAATATGAACACAGAAAATGGAATAATTGTTTCGTTGTTGACATAATGATTTCGCTTATTAAGTCAACTAATTTACTGCCTTTTTGCATATCTCAAGACATTTTTGTGCACTTTCATTGATAAGAGAAGTTCACAAGTAGTGGTAATAAATTATCAGGGTTTAAATTGGTGAATGTATAAAAATAAGGCTAAAGTGACTCGTTTGAAGGAATAACAGACTGAAATCACTTTCACAAGGAGGATAGATGGTTTTATTTCCGTAGGGTCTAGTAAACAAAGTGTAGTGGATGGTTTGGTAGACGAGTGATTAAACATTTATGGGAGTCAATCTAAGTCATTGTAGGGAAATATAGTCGTAGTATTATTGTTTGTATTATACCGTCGTTGATTGGGCCAAATTGATCGGTCTCTATTGGGATATGGGCTCCTTTGCGGACGCCTCGATATTACCTGTGTTTTAATTATAGTAATGATGAATAGTGGCCAGCAGTGGGACTCGTCAGCTGGATGTACCTGCATCCCAGTGAGTGATGTTCCCACCAGGAGTCAAACTCGAAACCGATCGCTTCAAACTCTAGAGTGTTATCCACTAGACCACCAAGCCATGATACCACTATCCGTCATTACACAGGTAATATCGAGGCATCCGTACAGGAGCCCATATGCCAATAGAGGTCGACCAATTCGGTCCACTCAACGACGGTATAATACAAGCAATAATGCTAAAACTATGCCCGCCGCACAAGAAGTGGCTCGGTGGTCTACTAGATAACGCTCTGGCGTTTGAAGCGACTGGTCCCGAGTTCGAATCCCGGTGGGAACAACACTCACTCAGAGGCAGCTACATCCAGCTGACGAGTCCCAAATCGGACGGAATGCGCATCCTAGATTCCACTGCCAGCCACTATCCATCATTACTAAATATAGTCTTAGTTAAGAATAAGGACTATTGCATAAACTGCACATTTATGTGAAATCCATCGAATGATCAATTAACACTTAGTGGTGTTATAGTATAGATTCATTTTACTTAGTGTGAATAGATTATGTTTACTGAAGGGAGATAACCTTTCTGTTTGATTTTACGGAAACCACTTATTTATGTCGCTTGCCAGTTATTCTGTTAAACTTGATGTTGTATCATTTCGTAGGTCACCACTTTTCTTTGTTCTTAGACGTAATGCTAACTTGAAACGGTGTGACTAGCACAGAAAAAGCACTTATTGTTATTGAGTTTGAGATTTAGATACATCCACTAGCTATTTCCAGAAAACTAGTCGAAGTTATAAGAAATATGAAATGAAAGTAACCCTAGATGAATACACTGGCTTTGCACTTAGCCTTTCCAATTAACTTTTCCAAAGCGTGCTGGTGTGTGAATAGACACCAATGACCACACTAGGGAGTTTGGTCAGCAGTCCCAGACCGCAAATAATTCTACAGAAATTCGTAAATATATTTCCTCACTTAACGGCAAGGCTTTGTATACGCCATTGATGCTAACGTGGGTATGCTTTTGTAATTTATTTTCGGTTAGATGACATCAATTTAGCATTCCAGTACAGGAAACCTTAATTGTAAAGAAAATTTTGATACTGTTTAAATAATTTGAACTGAGTAGGATGAATGAATTCCTTCTATTTTTGTCAGATTCATACTTGCTACTATATATACTTAGTTTGTCACATGAACAATTAGAAATGGTCATGAAAAAAACCCCACAAATTTTGCTTATTTTCTCATATACCTCTTAATCAACACTTCATTATGGGTAATAATAGGCTGCCATTTTCTCCATAGTTCATCCACTTCAATTTGTGCTCGCGAAAGGTTAAACTGAAAGGGAAAAAAAGTAGTGTCGTTATCTTTATTACCAGCTTTTGTTAAAGCTTCTGGTTAATGCTGTAGTTGATAAACATTTAAATTCTAGCAGGCAGCTAGCTACAGTAATTTTAACTGATATTGAGCATCCACTTTGTTCATAGCTCTTTCCTTTTATCTCCTCCGGGAGGACAAGAAGAAATAACATGAGACTGTATGCTCGTATGGTTCGACTGTGCGTTATCTAGCACAGTAGATGAAGAAAAAATTGTTAGAATTTATTTTTATTATTATTTTTCCTTTGGGTTCTTAGTGGAACATGGGGCTTCAGTAGCAAGCCTCCATTGTACTCTGTTCTCCGCAGTCTTTTCGATCTGCTACCACAACTGCCCGCAAGCTTTCATTTTTTCCTCATATGATCTCCATGTCATCCTCGCCCCGGACGCCCAACTCGTCGTTTCCCCTTTGGATTCCACTCGAGAGCCTGGTCTGGCGCGTGATGTCCCCAGTTGGCCTTCTCAGTGTATGCCCGATCCATTTCCACTTCCTTCCAGTGCATATTTGTTCGGTGATATGTTCTTGGTTGGTTCGTTCCCAGAGTTTCTTATTGTTTATTCTTTCTGGCCATCTGAGCTTCAGTATCGAGCCAGTGTACGCAGCTGTTGATGGATATCTGTAGTTTGTTGGAAATACTTTTCATGACTCATCAAGTTTCTGAACCATATAGCAGCACTGACTTGACATTGGTGTTGAAAATCCGGATGTTATTCACGCTTTATGCTGAGTGCAGTAGATCCCCACACTGATTTCAGATTAATGAAAGTTTGTCTTGCTTTTCCGATCCTGGTTTTGACATCCTTGTCTGTGCCGCTGCCTGTAGTTGAAACGACTCTGCCCTGCCTAGGTAGGTGAAAGAGGCTACTTCCTTCAGGTTTCTCCCGTTGATGATGATTGGTGCTTGTTGTTGTTGGTGGTGTTGGTTGGGTATCTTCATCACCTCTGTCTTCTATACATTCACGTTCACTTGAAGTTTTCGCTGCCTCGCCTCACCTCTTCTGTCAACTTGTTAGTTTTCGCCTGTTGATCTTCGAGTTTGTGCGACATTAAACATAAATCATCGGCGAAATCCAAATCTTCTAGGCTCTTTTCACCGATCCAGCGTACGCCCTCTTCTCGCTCCCCACGGTTTGCTGCATGATCCAATCGACCACAACCAGGAAGATCATCGGTGAAAGTAGACAGCTTTGTCTTACTCCTGTCTTCCCTTCAAAGGCTTCACTGAGCTTTCCATTGTGGCGTGCGGCGTCTTCATTCAGCTGTTGAATGAGGTTGGTAAAGATTAGTGGCACTCCCTAGTTTTCAAGCAGCTGCCTGGCAAATTACTTCTCGTTCGACTCTGTTGAAGACCTTTTCAAAGTCGATAAAGTTGAGTTGACTGGCATTCTTTACTCTGTTCTATGATGATGTGTAGGGTAGCGTTGCGATTCGATCTGCACATGCTTTGTACTTCCTGAATCCATCCTGTCCCTGTCGTAGTTTTGAATCCAGTGCATTGTATAGTCTGTCCAGGATGATGAGACTTAATATTTTGCTTGGGGTGGACAGCAGCATGATTCCACGCCAGTTCTTGCGAAGACTGAGGTCACGCTTCTTCGGGAGTTTGACAAGGTAGCCCTTCTAATCACTCAGCAGGTATCATTCCTCCCTTCCTTGCAAACCTTCTGCAGTAGTGCTGTGAGCATGTCCGCTGGTGTCCTGCGTCTGTTCTCGGTGCTTCTGGTGGGATTCCATCTGGTCCTGCTGCTTCCCCACATTTCAGTAGCTTTATGGCGTTCAGGACTTTGACTTTTGTTTGAGGGCTTGTGTTCACTGGTAGTTCTGTGGCTGGGCTGTTGCTAGTACTTCTGGACGAAGTGCAGGTTGTGGTGGTGATCGATTCAAGAGCTTCTTGAAGTGGTCAGCCCATCGTTTCCTTTGTTTCTCTTCGGTAATTAGATTTCCTCCGTCATCTTTATTGGTTTCATCTGTGTAGATCTCTGCACAACCAGATATTAACCTGGTTATTTGATACAATGTTGTCAGGTCTCTGTCTCTCCTACCATCAGCCTGCAGCCTGTTCTGCTTCACTCGCAATGTGTCCTGGAAACAAGTGTCTTTTACCTCGGGTGCACTCTTCTTCACTTCTTTGTTTAGTGTTTTATACATTGTACTCAGTTCCTCTTCTCGTTGTTCATCCTTGAACTGGTTTATCTTCTGCTTCACCATCACCGTCCTCCTCTCCCTTCTCCATCATTTTCCATGTGTCCGTCAAGATCCATTCCTTGTCCTATTTTCTCTCCCTTCTTAATACGGTTATGCAGGTTTCTTTCCACATCTCTTTCAAAGAGTCCCAGTGTTCTTCCACGCCCGATCCTTTAGGGCTGTTGCTCAGTGTCTCATTTTGTTCTGATGGCTGACGAAGATTTTCTTTGTAGTTTTGTCCTTCAGTTTCTGTTCTGGGTGTTGAACTTGAACCCTGGTCTACAACCAACTTCTGTGAAGGCTTTCAACTTGATTTGGCAGGCAGGTTCCTTGCAGTAGATGTGAGTGGTGTGAACCTACATCTGCTCCCTTCTTTATCTGACCTTGTGTCCAGTAGGCTGCGTCTCCATTTTCTTCACATTGAGATGAAGTCGATTTGATTTTTAGTGTGTCCTGATGTCTGGTGAAATCCATGTCGCTGACTTGTGGATATGCATGTGATTGAACACACTGCATCGCCTCCAATCACCAAATCGTTGAATGCACAGAATTGTGCAAACAGTTTTCCATTCTCGTTGATTTCACCTAGTGCTTCTTGGCCCATGATTAGTTCTCTTCCTGTGTTTTCTGATCTCAGTTTGTCATTCATGTCGCCCATTATAATTTTGATATCGCTAACTGAAGTCTTGTCTAGTGTTGATTGAAGTTGTCTGTAGAATTCTTCCTTCTCTTCATCTGCATTATTTGTAGGTGCGTAGTGTAGCATTGTATGATTGTGACCTCCCTTCCTTTTGACTTGAACCTTGCTGTTATGATCTCGGACGAGATTCCTTCCCACTGCACTAGAGAGAACCTTCTATGTTCTTGGAGACATCGTGATAGCCACTCCATAACTCAGTGTGCTCGTGGTTGTCGTTTCGTGTGGGTGATAATATCAGAGTAGATTATTGACTCTCCAGTTGACAGTTTGGAGAGTCCACTCCCATTCCATCTGCTTTCGCAAATTCCTAGCACTTCTATGCCATGCCTCCATCTCTTTTGCAATCTAGACAGCCTTGCTAGGTTCATACATGATGCGGACATTCCATGTCCCCATGTTTACTTTCGCTTTCATCGAGAGAAGACACATCGACCCGGCCGATTGGCTTTCCGAAGGCTTTCACCAACTGGCGTCATTTCGTCTCCTCGATTCCAGCGAGGAATAAGTTGTTTTTATTTTTTATATTTTGTTTGTGCTGTGAAGTTTCTTTAGTGGTTTGATTTGTTTTACGGGGTAGGGTCGCTAGCCCTATGCCCAACCTTCCCTGTTTACCCGGGCTTAGGACCGGCTAGTAACTGGTGAACTAGTTAACCAGGCTTGAATCTGTTTCTTAGTTATAATTTTAATTGAGTGATAAATCTAACTTATTCATTTGTTTCTGTTCATTTGTTATGCGCATATAGTAAAAGTCAACATATGTTATTGATTAAGTTGTGTTAATACGTATCATTCTTACCTTTGAACGTTGTGTCCATTCTTCTTGACACAAATTCCTTAGTTTTATACGTCTTACCTTACGCATATGATAATCAGTTACCACACTGCAAAGGTGATTCATTTCCTGGAATGGAAATAATATTTTATTAGTTTTTAGTTTCTTTTTAACCTGATCTACAGGATAAGAAGTGAGTATGTAGTAATCTGCGTTATTGGGGGGAATATAGGAGTGAAATGTGTCCGATGTGTAGAATGTAATTCCATTTTAGTTGGTTTAACCTATGCATCACAAAATGAAACAGTATTATTTACTGGATTACGACGTTTCGGACACAATTTATTGTCTATAGTCATATTTGGATATGATATGAGAGGAAATCAAGCTTTAAAAAATCAGTTCCGGTAATAAGTACGCCACTAAACAAGTCGTTGGTTGGGCTTCAACGTCCATTTCTTCTGTTTTGTTCATTCGTGATACATTTCCATCACACCGTCAGTATCTGTCTACACATCTGTTCAGCAAATCAACAAGTTGAGGCTTCTCATAGGAAATTTCTGAAATCCACTTCAAAGCAATTTACAGCATTTCTATTCAGATAGGAGATGTAGTAACTGACGGACGTAAAACGTATCGAATACTGTACATTCAAACTGGTATTATTCAGAGTTACAGGTGTACTTTCAAAAGGTATCTACGCAAAACTTATCATAGAGTTTCTGTTTAAGTAAAAGTATGACAGGGGTAGAGCATAATTTCATATTAGATTGTTCTGTTAAGACAATATCAGAACGGCCTGCCTTATTAAAAGAAACAGAAGAATTTCGGTAAGTCTGTCTCTACATGCAACTTAAAAATATTGGATAGTGTTTTATTTCTCTGTAGATCACACAAGGGTACGAAAAAATGTCATAGAAATGGGAATCGCATCATCGAGACTTGTAGGAAATCAAAAAATATAGCTCAGAAATGATAAAAGCAAACGGATAAATGTGGTAAAACAATTTAAAAGACGAGATGTGGATGCACGTGCTTCACCACTGAGCAATACAACTTAGAGTTACCAACCGCTAATTCTAAGTTGTCATGTTGACTCCTACAATGAAGTCTACAATTCCGTTCACAACTCATGTCAATAGTGAGAGGTTTGATAAACTAGTACCATTCTTTGAACTGCTTACACTGGTTTTTTCCCCAATATAGCCATAATTCAAAGAACTTGGTTCTCTGAGGTGGATGGTGACTAGGAGTGCGTAACACATGTCGTAGCCAGCTAATTTGATATGGATTTACAAGCTGATTAGGTGGACTTCATCTGTCAGCTGAGACCCTACTCCTGATGTGTAGGTTTTTGATTTGTTAGTTTTACAACAGACAGTCGATGCTACTGAGGCAAGGGTGGTGGAGTGACAGTGACGTTTTTATGTGTTTCAGTTTTGATGGCCATGTTTCCCAGTCATAAAGTAGGAGAAAGCAACGGCAGTGAACTGTAAATTTTAAGTTATTTTAACGAATAAACCAATTGTTAAATGAATACAAATGTGTTCAAAAGATAAGTGATTGCTAATTTTTAATATTCATAATTAATTATGGAATACTTCTTTTAGTTTCGCTTGACAAACATCTAAGAAATCAGTAAACATTTAAAATAGGGTAACAAAGTGACGGTGATTACAGTGATAAAAATAAAAATCGTTTCCAGGCTTTTCTGTTAGTCAGTTGTCGAGATGGTGTTTTTATTGCTCCCTGTCTGTCGCTTTCTTGAAGCTAAACATTTACATTCAAGAAAAAAGTAAGACAGTCAAGAAGCTAAACTTCGTAATGGTCAGTATTTGGTTTAAATGTTCACTGGTAGACATTAGTTTTATTAGCCTAAATGACTGTTTAGACTCATCCGTTCAGATTAATACTGTGAATCCATCTACGTATATGCTGTCTACTATAAAACTAAGTTAAGGCTCAGTGTATCTAGTCTTAGTAAGAAAGACTTCATTCACTTCAATAATGTGTTAGCAAACAGTTGAAAATCTATTGGTCATCAAAAGTAATTTCTTTGTATATCTGTGGGTGTAGGTGTCATCCTGGGGAAACCTGGCGTGATAGTAAGTCTGGTGTAGGAACAGCAGTGAAGACAGTTGGTAACCCACACCCGAAGGTAAGTGAACGTCACTGGATTTCTGCAACGTCATTCGAACTGATCGATGTGAGAATACTGATTCCAATAGACCCTGATTATTACTATTTAGAAAGATAGCAAATTACCGTAAGTTGATCAAGAGTCTTCGCGCTGATCGCGAACATTAGAGGTACAAGGTAGCGAATCAGATGTAGTGCCGTAAGTCTGGCGTACTTCACTGATCATCCCAGTCTATAAGAGGGAAGGGAAATCTTGTGAAAAGCATAGGGGAATTGGTTTGACTAATATTGTATCCAAGATTCAAGGTGCCATAGTTATCCGGCGCCTAATTGGAGCTCGAGAAAAGCAGGCAGGTTTCAAACTCGAAGGAGGGTCCATCGATCATACTTTTACCCTCCGATGGGTCCTGGAACACAAGCATACTTACCGACCAATGGCCGACAGTTTTCATATTTCTTGACCTAAGCTATGTGGGTAGGTGCAGACTGCGTAGTTGGGGTCCTCGAGGCGATAGGAATCAGTGGTTGATGACATATGGTAACATAGCTGAAAATCGATCACGGTTGCTCAGATGTATTGACTCCTTGACATCTAAAACTTGGATATATACACTAGCCCTTGTCTTCAAATTGTTTATTCTGTCACTCATCTCTGTCTACTCTTATTCTACCTGCTTCTTTGTAATACTGTGAAGTGTGACAACTTGAAGTGATATATTTATGTGTGGTGTCCGACGTTTTATTTTGTCAGTCGATAAGTACTGCTTCAAAATATAACTTTAGAACAGTCATATTTACGTCAAGCCGAAATTCTAAAGGTTGACCAGCTGCCGAATGATGCAAAATAAATGATAACAGAAATCGCGTACATTGAGGCTTAAGGTGATGTGTAAGGTAAACATACAAACTATGGAAATGCGACTAAGAATTGTGAGCTTGTAAAAATAGAGGGAAATTTGTGAAGTTCTGATGCCTTGTTGTGCTATCATTAACAATGTTGAGGTATGCGATACTACCTGAAGTATAATGCTAAAAGAGGTGCTTGTTTTGAGGTACCACTTCCCGAAAATCTAAATGTACAGGACAGATGGGTAATGCCAGGGTCGGCTTTATATAGTAGTATTTCATTCGTTCTCCGTGGATGCTTAGACTTCAGTAAACCTTTGGATTTTTTAGATCATGGTTTCTTGCTTTAATGGGTGGAAATGTATTATTCCATTGAAAGCTCGAATTTGTGATTTGTTTGGCAAGAAAACCTCGTATACTACAATGTAACCATCTGTTCAATTCTCTAAAGTAGTGCTTTTGGGGATACCAGTACTTTCAATCATCAATTGATAATCGTTGAACAAGAAGGGGCTATTATATTTCAGTAAGTAGCTTATTAGTTAACACCTTGGTGTCCAATACCTTGAAGTAAGAATTTGATTGTCACTGGGAACACCAACACGGAGGCTCAGGGACATATGGGTGACAAGTACCAATCATGACATAATGCGCATCCCGGATGACATACACTATTAGTAACTGTCAAGTATGTAAACAAGATCTGGTTTAAGTAGTGGGAAGAACTATATGCATAGACGCCTTTTATCAAAAAAGACGGTAGAATATAGGAACTTCTAATACAACTCACAACCTGAGAATTTTGAACAATTTTGTTCTGAAGCAGACAATATGATGAGTTTCGTATATCAGGGACATATCTGGATGTTTAGCATGATCTTTAAATTTGCTGTGATGGTTAGTTTTCTGTGTCTACTGAATAAATGGATCATTTATTTCATTCCAATTTATTGAATGATCATTTATCATCCGATGCATTCTGGACATTTCATCCGACCCAAACATTTGAATATTCTTATTAATATTCAGTGAATTTTAAAGTTTTCCTGAATATAATTCGTTTCTAAATGGCATATTTATACTATTTCGGAATCAGAATATCTGTTTCGAGATGAATAACCTCAAATGTCAATAAATAGTTATGAAAAAAGGATGTGTGCTGAAAAATTCTCTCAGACAGAAACAATTATAAGTAGTGGAAAAAAGTTGGAAATGTAAAACATTGAATTCCAACTCAGTGACCTAAGTAGTTGAATTTAACTGACTGATGTTCATATATGATGTCATTATATTAGTTCTGAACAATCTGAGGTGATGGAAGCTCACCATGAAATTTTGAAGCTTTGTGTTCAGCTTTTATAGAACGTTTTAATGGATACACTAGGGATTAGACAGTGCCATAGTGATAAAACAGCTATTTAGAAATCTTAGTATTATGCATATAAAACCATTACTTACTTGTGGAGAAACTGCCAATTTTGACTTATCATTCCCATTATCATTAAATTTAGCAGTATCTGAACATTCAGTAGATTGACAAGCTTTAATCAGAACTTGATCACGATGATTTAACCATATTTGTGTTTCTTGAATGCAGGGTAGAATCAAATCTGTCTGGTTAACATTCACTCTTTCTATAATTATATTGATTAATTGTAGAAATATCGTGCGCCGATTGAATTTCATCACTACAAGAGTGAAAAAATTAGATGGCAGAATGAATCAGCACATCAATGAAAATTGTTTTTGAAACTACATTCAACTGAATATAGTTATATGACTTATGATGACATCAAGGTCAAGAATGAATCCATTATTACGACCTCGTAGCTGTTTCTATCCATGTGTCCGAATCGCTTTTGCTTGAGAATACTGAACAGTTTGAAGTAATACTTCTAGTAGAAGAAATCGGGTCCATCGTCATTTGAGATTTTGATCGAACAAATAGACCAAGTACAAGCAATCCCTACAATAGTACAGATCGTGTTACAACTGTCTGATAATTAGCCTCATGTTACTGCATGCCAAAAACAAAGCGTTTAAGTCTGGCAACGGGAGAAATATATTCCCGGCCAAGTCCTTCGTTATTTTGGAGGAGGACTGCCTACGTTTAGTTGAACAGATTGATAGGGGTCGGCGAGCTAACACCTTTATTTATTCCTTATCATTCGAAGCTTTGAAAAGCCTAGTTTGTTGGCATTAATGTTACTGATGAAGAACATAAAGATTTTTCGTTTGTGAAGATGCAGTTACATTCACAATACTTCGATACCTGGTCGAGCACGTAGCGTGCTTTCTACCTGTTTGGAAAGGGAAGGAAAACGTTCGGAAGAGTTCTTATGACGAATGCAAAATCGGATCTTATGGCATTCGCTGACGATATACCTGTGTTGACTGACATCTTGTCACTTATTATTAAATATAAGTACTTGCTCAGTCATCGCCTCACTCCTCTACGCAACCCCTACTGCAACAACGAACTTACCCACAGGCCAAACGAAAACCTATCAGCAACTGTTCCTCACAAGGAAACCTACAGAAGTCACAGAACATTCAGAGCAATAATAGACATTTTTACATAAAAAGATGTCTAACCTTTACAATAACACTAAACTCAGTAGACAACACTGTTTATTTTTCTTGTGTAAAAATATACACTATTGATCGTTTCACACCTAGAAGTTCGATTCAACAAATCAATTTCAAATTATTTTCCGTTTCTTTCATTTATTACACTGAATGAAGAAAAAAGTTAACTTTTATACTGATGCAATTATTTACAGTTTGAAAATATCTGTGAATCAGTTTCGTACACGACCTACTGAGGGTAAAATCATGATATCCAATGCCGATATCATCATTTTCGATCGTGGTTATTAATTTACATGAACTAGTTATTAAGATTAATCAAATTGACTGTTTTGTGAGTTAACGACATCTATTAATCACTTATTTTTGCATAGAAACGGTGTTTTAAGGATTTCTATTTCACATATTTACGCTGAGAAGGCCGACCGGAGACATCATGCACTTGGCCCTCGAGTGGAATCCAAAAGGGGAAATGACGAGTTGGGCGTCCGGGGCGAGGGTGACATGGAGAAGATCATGTGAGGAAGAAATGAAAGCTTGTGGACAGTGGTTGGGCGAGGCTGATAAGTCTGCGGAGAACAGAGTGCAATAGAGGTGTGCTACTGAAGCCCCATGTTCCACTAGGAACCCAAGAGAAAAAAATCATAATAATTTCACATATTGGCTTTTTTCATCAATATGAAATATTACACGACCATTTTACTTCAACTTTGACCTTTCTTATTCACCAACAGTATTGATGCGAATCAACCACCCAGCACAGCTGAAAGTACTGAGATATGCGTTATGTTTGCTTTAGAGGATAATACACAAATGTGGAAGTCGATGTATTCTGAGTGGTTTTGAAATTGTGATACAAAATATTTTATAACTTAATACTGTGGACAGCCCGAAACTATCTCAATAAGCGTATATTAATGAGGTGTAGGATTTTGTATTCTTTATGGCAGTAACATTGTGATTTAGGGATATTGTTTTATCTATTCTTCTTGAAGTATCATTTAAGCCAAAAGACATTCGACATTATTTCACCGACTATTATGAAATGATATTCAGAAGATGTGTTCTAAACTGATTTCCAGTAATATCATTTGTAGGATTGTTTCATACTGAAGACATTGTTTATCATCATATTCCGCCACCATATGGCGCCCCGCGATATCCGATTGTCTATTAAGGGACACGTATACTGCATAGCAGTCCTCTGTGTTCTGCTGTATGGCTGTTAAACATGGCCATTGAAGGTGGAGGATATGGGAAGTCTTCAGGGGTTTGGTCACCGTTGTCTTCGTAGTATAGGCCGTATTCCGAGGTGTCACCACTAGGTGAGTAACGTAGAAGTCAGGTGTAGAGTTTTAGGGAGTAGAGGTAAAGCAGTTGACAAGGTTATAAACCTCCATCGACTGAGATGGTTGGGACACATGGTAGGCATGCCTAGTCGCCGATTGCCCCATCATACAATGTTGGTCGAAGTAGGTTCTGGCTGGAAAAAGGCTCGAGGCTCTCGGCCACACTAAAACATGGCATCAGTGTATGAAGTGTTTGAGCCATGTAAGAGGGCGATGCAGACTGGGTAGTTAGGGTCTGCGGGACAAGAGGAACCAGTGGTTGGGGACCGACTCTAGGTGATATGGCTCAGAACCGATGTCAAGGGCGCAGATGTATATACACATTGTCTTCATCTTAACGCTTTACTGGATCTCACCATTTTCTCACTTTTCCTTTTTCTCTTTTCGTACTTTATATTTCTGTCGACTGCATTTTCTTATCTTCATCTTGCACTTCACTACCTTTTTACTTGATGTACTGATATGAGCTATGGCAACTCGAACCGTAATGTCTGGTCCTATGTTGATTTAGATGATGATGATGATGAGCATCATTATCATATTCTCGTTATGAGGCTTTTTGATGAAGTTTAAACTACACATTTTCATCTCATTCATTTATGTTAACAAGACTTAACTATTTCAAGAAATATGAATGGATAGGTGGTTTTGCCGTCGAATAAATCAACGTTATTAGAACGATTGAAGATAAGTTTCATTTTACTTTATCAAATGAGTGGTATTCGAGAACACTGATATCACTAGTAGGGGACATTCAGTCAATAAAATTCTTTAAAAGTTATAACTTTCAGTTGATTGAAGCTTAAGCAACTAAAATTCTGTAGAATTAGACAATGGTTACAGCAAACCCGTTATCCACTACTGGTTATTAGGAAAACTTGAAAGACTATTTGTCGATCTCTCTCCTTACTAATCTTCTGATTACTGAGTTGTTGTAGGTCATAAAAAGTATCATGAAAGTTTGGTGCTACTCCTGATTGTATTTTCTCAATTAGGTAGAAATATAAGAAAAACCATAACATTGTTGATCCTATAAGGATAAAAATTGTATTCCACATGCTCACATAATCATAAATACATAAAAACGTTTAACACGAATTTAACCAAAATTTTATCTGACACAATTCTGTTTTGTCATAAGTTGATTGATGCTTTTTATCCAAATCAAAACATTCATAAATCGACATAGCATTTAGCCTCCAACAATTTATCAGAATTATATTTCATTGATGAGAAAATCAGTGAAGTGATTTTATCAGAATGTGAACTGATGTTGATGTGGACACAAATTTTATTTTTACCAGTTAACATCAGAAATGACATTCCTATTTCGTCATGGTTTATGAAAGTTTCTTTTTTATTGCTCAGAATATGCGAAGTATTTGTGCTACTTCTCCTACTCACCGTCTTTGATTGCTGTTTTAAGAGGCTTTGTAGCCATACATGCGATTGCTTGGTAAGGGTCTTCATAACCAAATAATTCCACTTTTGGGGGACCTGTTTAATTGAATATAAAAGTTAGGGTAATTAAGAAAAGGTAAATATGAAGGACAAAGTTAATTAATCCTGTATTTTGGTAACCAGATTGAGTTCCATGAGAACTTTAGGTAGAAGACTAAATAAACCTCATAAAACCACTTTGAAATTACTTCACTTTCAGGAGATGTAATTACAGTGAAACACGTTTGAGTTGGAAGATACAGTAACTAACTATTGTGGCAATCATTCTGCTGTCAACCAGGAGGGTCTTTCACTTTTCGCTTTATATCTTGATATTGTTTAACAGGGACTACAAAATACATGATACTTGAAAAGTATAAACCACTTGCTGAATATGAGAAGCCAAAGAACCTAAATTCATGATCGTAGGTGCTAGTCAAAATGTCAACTTCAAGATTTATAGCTGAGCTGTTCAATAATGAAGCAAGCAACTTTACCACTTAGCTAATCAATCACAATGTTGATATCTCATAGAGCTGGATTATCTATAAAAAACATTCACTAAATGGAAACCATTTTAGTTCTGTACCCTGCGGGTCTCTCCTAAAAACTTACTGTATAACCAACAAACTTAAACTATGAAACATAATCAATCTTTCTAATGTCGTCGAAATCTTCAATTTAGAGAAAATGTAACCTGAATCTCTATACTGAAAACGGTTTTATTTAAAAGAGCTTCAAGAACAAACAACTTGTTCTATTTTATTGCGCCTTCAAAATCAGTTAGTAGTTCATTCTGCAACTGTATATAATACCATAACTAGCAGAAAATCACTATAAAGGATAATAATGTAGTCGCTTTATTCCGGACAAAATGTTTTATGTGGTATGGAATTCTCGGTAAGCTCACTACCGGAACAGTATATTCACACGAAATGATTACTCCATCCGAATTTTGTTCATAATAATATTATCAAAGGCAATAATGTTGAACAGTCAGCTGATGTTGGGTCACCTTCCAATCTGGTATGGAGGACGTACAAAAAGTTAAACATAAGTTTGGTGGTGATGATTCATCCACCCCATTCAAGAATGTGCCATTCGAGTTAAGCGTTCAAGTGGTGGTAATATGATCAACTTTGAGCAACGAAAAGTACATTTCTGTCGAGATTGACACTTTGTTTTGTTATCTACTCGAGAAAAGGATAGATGAAAACATTTTGAAATTGCTCAAGAGTACATGGTGCGCTTAGAAGATATAGTTAAGTGATTAAAACAAAGTGAACGCAAAACATTTATATATATATATATATATATATATATATATATATATATATATAAAGCTTTATTGACTGTACAGAATTTCTAACCGAATAAAAACTTATACTTACTTAGCTTTGCTGTAACCAAGTAAGAATAGGCGTCGATAGTTCTAATGACTAAATTTAATTCGTCTAGCTCATCCAGATTTTGCACTGATTGTTTACGTTCACCTTTAGTTGAGAAGTTTGAATTTAATTTTACTTGCGAAATTCTTTTTCTTGTAGTTTGACTTACAGTTGGTTTTACATCTGTGTAGAAGATGAAACATTTCGACATATATATGTTGCGAAAATAAATTATCCCTCAATTATGGGACTTCTAAAATCCCATTCGTTTCAAAATATATGGAGCCTTAATGTGATGTGTTTTTTTTGGTCTTCCAAATATCGTAGCACATACGAAGAAAAGAGGATTGCGCTCATCTTTTAGAAATGCCTTCGTACGGTTTTGGATTACTTGCCTCTCCTAGGAGAGTTCTACTCACTGCTTTTACTTGAAGGCAAAGGGAACGTCCTGTGCTTTCCACTAGGTCCAACGACACAGACAATTAATTCACCCTGATCTTAAACGGATAGTGAATACGATCTGCAGGATCCAGAATGAACAAATTGCATATGAACTTAATTTAGTCGTCGACAGTCGCAGAGATGCAGAGTCAGACGTGGGTCTCTTTTTTTGTTGAGTGGTCATCTAAGACAATGCCCGCTTCAATCTGAGCAGCAGTACTCGTAAAAGCTATGGGACAACATGGATAAGGAAGACTTGTAGGTAATCATCAAATCTTGCACGCAATCGAATTCACTCCATTACATTCAGTCATTGAGTATGCTATCATTTGATCCCTGTTGTTTTTCAGATGGGCTATATTAGTCCCTTGATATCATCTGCAAATTTTTCGTGTGCATTTTTGTTTCAGTCATTGATCGAAATCCTAATCAACCTTTCCGTTCTGAGTCTTTACATGTTTGCTTCAACAAAGATATCCCTTGATGCGACACTGTTCTGAAACCAAATGGACCATCACAGCTGGCTACCTACAACGTTCGATCCTTGATACAGGTCATCCGAAGGAGATAAGTTTGACTAGGACTCTAATAAGCCTCGATGTTTTTGTATGTAATATTTCAGAAACTCACACTTATAACCTCAGAAAGATGCTTCGAATGACTTCACTATCCGTTGACTCAAAAAGTGTTTTTGGTACGCTTATCCAGAAACCTTGTTGCTTTGGTAGCGCCCTTGTTGCTGTAGATGTCGCATTACACCGTTTAACCAAAACTGCGTTAATCAACAGGAAATCCGCTAACGGTTATTGACGTGCTGTTGGAAGGTTGAGTTAGAGTTATAAATAACCAGCAAGCAAAGTTATGTCTTTATATACCCCAAGACGGATGGCACGTAGGCGGGCATCAAAGAATAAGTTTTACTAATAATTCAGTGAGTAACCCTATGTGACGAGTTTTCTTGACAAATATCATTTTTCTATCTGAATACTTTATTCTCTAGTGTATCTGGGTTCAAAGCAGTATCGTGTAAGTGGCCAGCTGGCCTTAGTCGGTCGCAGTTCTCGTAGGAATGATCATCTTTGGCAGTTTAGTGGGAAGCATAACGTACATCTAGATGGAGTGACAATCATTGGTCTACATCAGATTGACTTCTGTCGTGCTATTCATCTGTCTGTAAAACAGCCAGCTGTGTAATCTTTTGTTGTAGCCTGGTTTGCTATACATCTATGAGACCTGAGCACTCTGGGCTGAGGATATCCGACACGTATATCCATCCGTTTATAACTGTCCCTGTAAAATTACCAACAATTGGTAGAATCATAATGGAAATAATTCTAAGAGTGAATCAGTGTGTATTGGAGCATTGTCGAGATTGTCATTCATTGATTGAAGTCGTCTTGAAACATAAGCTCCAGTGATCTAGACATGTATTTTGAATGCTATTCAAGCTATTCCTATGTCATTAACCGTTTACTAGCCTCGGAACTGGTTGCAGGGCGAAGCGAAATACTCAATGTTTGACATTAGGCTGTGAGATGCAAGATTATCGTGTTGGTTTAGCATTAGTTGATCCTTTACATATCCAACTAGTTTCCTGGCGACCACCTGGCTCAATGGCTTTAGAAGATCTGATGTTTGCCTCAGAATACATAGCAGTGGATAATTACGGTGTGGTTTTTGAGTTTTCTGTGTTATCAGAAACAACGTAAAGCTAATGGAAGTCGTTAAAAAATTTTTATGAGTACCTACTTCGGAATTAATTTCAACCTTTTTTGAAATAATGCATGATAGGTTGGAGTTTCAGTCAAAGTGCTCCTGATGAGTCCTAAATATGTCGACATCCACGTCCTAATTTGTAACACTAACCACCGTGTAATATAATTAGATACTCTTTACCTGAATGAATATTTTTACGAAACACAGCTGGTAAGTATCAAAACAACTTGTTAGTCCCTCCCTGTTTCACTTCGTCACAAGCTAAGACGTTTTGTTGACCTATACTAAGGGTGTTACTTGTTAGTAAATTCAGGAACCAATAATGACTAGTTACAGAAATCACCGACTGACTTATCCATGATCATCGTCTCTTGAAGAATGTTCATATCATAATATATTCAAATGAATAAGAGGGATATTAAAAAGTGTGTCATATATAATTACCTTTAATGACTTGATTTAATACCGCCTTTACATTTTTCAAAATAGCAATTACACCTTTTAATTCATTCAGTGTCTCAAGAACTTGAACACATCCAAATGTGAATTTGACTATTGTTTTAGTCAGTTTCGAGTTTAATGTTTCATCAAGTAATATTAACTTCTTAAAACACTTTCTAACGCCAAGTAGTATGGTTACTGATTGTATTAGGATCTAAAACAATTACGGAACATATAATCAAACATGAACAATTAATTGGAACAATGACACTTAAATATTTCTTGAATTTTTTAAGTTCATCAAAGCTTATCTTAATCGGTATTGTATTAGAAACCTAGAAATATAAGACTATGGTCAACAAAAAGGTCTCTTTTCGTAACTTCCTATCACTGTAGTGCAGTTATATGGTAGTATAGGGAGATCATGAATAACAAACAAGGATCAAGGGTGAATTTTTGTTCATAAAACCGTATTCAATTGTGAATCAGAAGATAAAAATAGTTGGAGGTGGCAAACCAGCCTAACTTTACAAAATTATGCGGTCATGAAAGGATAAGTTCTTGCGGATAATACAATGGGGTAGGAGAACAAAAATATTATACACAACAAAGGTAGACTGTAACAAAAAGGATGCCAAGCATATTAGAGAGGAAATTATCCAACAACGTTGTGAAGCTAATACCACAGTATTAAAAAGGACTCAGAAAACAATACACTGAGTTCAGGGTTCTGTTTGTGAATAGCCAGATCTGCTGCTGTAAAGAGAAGGTGTAACCAAAATCCGTTTGAGCCAGCATGGTCCTACCTTATAACCTACATCGAATGAGTTTATGTACAGATGCTGTTTAACTTGATAGAATTTATCAAATATTCACTCTGGAATCACTAAACCTCTATCAATCTCTGAAAAAGATTACTTCAATGGAAGCTATTAGTGTCACTCAACTTGTGGCATCATACGACGTTCATCATATTCCCTGTTATTTATCATCATGAAAAGTTATATAAACATGATCGTTTTTAAAAACAAATACGGCAAGTACATTATATTGTCAATTCTTTTGTTCATATTTATTACTAACCTTAGCATAGTCCGTTGTAACAGAATTCATGTTTATGTTGTACTCAAGTGTTTCATAGATTAAACTAGCAAAGTCTAGTAGAAGTTGAACGTCATTCAATTTGGCGCTCAATTCCAAACCGATTAATAGTTTTTCGGATAAATGCAATTTTTTAATCTGGCAGGATTAAAAAGGTAATTATTAATGATGTATGATAAAAAGAGACTTCATTCTAGTTAGTAAAAATAATTCAAAAAAAAAGGTAACGATTAAAAGTTTCACTCAAGATTCTTTTAAATATCATTCTCACTTATTTTTAATGAAGTTACTTGTGAATACAAGTGAACAATAGTGATAGTAAACAGTTTTTAAAATATTCAGCTAATCTACTGTTTATAGTCTAGGGTGAATCAAAATATTCCTTTAGGTTTACCTATGAGTTAGGTTCTAAGGGATATAATAACTCTCATTCCATTCTGAAGTGTAAAGGAAAACATTTGAATTTTTGTGTGAGGCTGTCAATACGTCTTACATATTCGAACGACGAAGAATGCATACTTTAATAATGCCTATTTCTGACCATCCAGAAATAAGTACAATAAACTTTTCCGTTTTGTAGTTAACTCAGCTTCTTCTGAATAATACAGTTGGTAAAAAGTATATCATTTAGACTAGTTTATGAATCACTAATTAACCTCACAGGATAATTCTTTATGCATATACACATATGTAATATCTACATTTAAACTCTCAGGCAACTGACTAGTAACGTCTAATAACAATTTAATAATTGAAAATTCACGGGGAAAAAATATTCAATCGAATATGAACTATCAACTTGTACTAGAGAGCTCTTCAGACACTTTCAATCATTTCATCGTTAGATCCTCGTCAACGTTCAAGTCTACCGATTTTTTAAACAGTGAGCTCATTTAAATTTTTTGCCGACACATTGCGCACAGTTATGTCACTTATTTCAATAAAAATTAGTCTTTAAATGGTCAAGCAACATACTTACTAATCTTTATGAAATAGTACTATGGCACTAACAAAACACTTTATTCTGGGTAAAAACCCAGTGGGTTATATAAGCTTTTAATTGTATTCGGTCAATCATTATGGTTTGTCAACAAGTACGTTCGAAGTAAAGCAGCTACGTTTTGTACCAAATAGAAAATACTAGTACGAGAAGTTTCCCTCTTTTTTATGCCAACTACAATCCATCAACCTGTTTATCATAGTATATGTCTAGTTTTCAGTAGAAACAACACATCTGACAGCTTCTGCATCGAAAATACAAGTGTTATCTCAAATGTTTCAGACTAGTTTTTCATCACACACTAACATCAGTTGGATGATCGTTGGGAACTTGTGAGTGCTGGATAGCCCTTTCGTTCTAGTCTTGGACTACTAAGCACCCACATCCATGACTGTATAAGATGTTGAGCCTAAAACTGCCGCGTGTCGTGGCTACTGACTTACCACCCAGCCACCGGATAGTGATCTAATAGTCAGTCTAATGGTTCAACGTCGTCAGCGACTATCTGTCCTCTTTCCCAACCTGAATGACTCTAGAGAACACGACTTCTAATTAGGACTTCAATAAACTTAACTGGGGACAAGTAATAAATGTGAGATGGACGGTCATTAAACTGGTGAATTGTGAAGACTGAGCGAATTCAAAGTAGTTTTTCATCATGGTTTGATTTTGCAATTCTGTCTGTGAATTATTCCAACCTAATTCCACTAGGGAGGCAACAGTTTTCATCACCACAGCAACAAGATATTACATTTTTGAATATTAAATAAACCATAACCATGAACAGTGCTGATCCGTCATTGATAATTAGCCCGATTAATACAAATAATACGAAAACGTTTTGATACAGTTGGTTATTCGTTGGTAAACTTACTTGTGTATTAAGTAGGTAAATATTATTGTTATCAGAATTATTTGAGCGTAGATTTTCAGATTTTTGAATGTGTAAGCACTGCCATAGAATACAGGTTGTAAATTGCTTCAGAAGTATGTTTGAACAGTGAAAAGCATCTGAATCTTTCAGCCTAGAACGATTGGAAAGTGTTATCCGTACTAAAGATTTAATCATAGCTTACCTTAAACCAGTTAAATGAGTTGATTTAGTATTATTTAATGTGTCATACTTCGTAGTTAAATATTCCCACACTTTATCAGTCGACTGAACACTGAGGCATTGGAATAGATCACGTCGACATCCCGACTAAATAAATCATAAATAACAAGTTTACAACAATTATTAAGTGTTAAGAAAGTAAGCATAATGAAATTTTCCTTAAATAAAATAAAATACTGAGTTCTAACCCTTTCAAAAACAATAACTTTTGGTTATAAGTGGGTCTGTTTTCTTTAAGTCTACAGTTTGGAGTTCCATGAATAGTCGTTACTTAGGCACACCAATGTTAACTCAAATTGACCAATAATCCATCCTGGTTAGAAGGAAGGGAAGGTACCTGGCGATTGGAAGAAGGGCTACCTTGTCAAACTCCCGAAGAAGGGAGACCTCAGTGTTTGCAAGAACTGGCGCGGAATCACGATTCTGTCCATCCAAAGCAAGCAAAATACTAAGCCTCATCATCCTGGAGAAGCTAAAGGATGCACTAGATTCAAAACTACGACCGGAACAGGCAGGCTGGATTCAGGAAGTACAAATCATGTGCAGACCAAATTGCAACGCTTCGCATCATTATAGAATAGAGTATAGAATGGCAGTCAACTCACCTCAACCTCAACTTTATCAACTTTGAGGAGGACTTTGACTGCGTCGACCGAGAGGTAATTTGGAAACTGCTTCAATACTACGGAATACCACAAACTTTTATCAGCCTCATTCAACAAGCATATGAAGATGCCACATGCCAGCCAAGTAATTCACAATGGGAAGCTCAGTGATGCTTTTGAAGTGAAGTGAAGACAGGAGTGAAACAAGGTTGCCTACTATCCCCCATGATATTCCTGATTGTGGTCGACTGAATCATGCAGCAAACATTGAGGAGCGAGAAGAGGGGGATACGCTGGACTGCGGGAAAGAACCTAGAAGATCTGGATTTCGCCAACGATGACTTGTGCTGATGTCATACAAACTTGAAGATCTACAGGCGAAAACTAACAAGTTGACAGAAGAGGTGAGGCCGTTAAGATAGAACTTCAAGTGGACGTGAATGTAGAGAAGACAGAGGTGATAAAGATACCTAACCAACACCACCAACAACAACAACAACCTCCAGACACCATCAACGGGTGAAACTTAAAGGAAGTAGCCTCTTTCACCTACCTAGGAAGCACTGTTTCAACTACACGCGGCAATGACGAGGATGTCAAAGTCAGAATCGGAAAAGCAAGACAGGTGTTCATTAGCCTGAAATCAGTGTGGAGATCTTCTGCACTGCACTCAGCATATGGAACAAGATCCGGATTTTCAACACCAATGCCAGTCAAGTCAGTGCTTATGTATGGCTCAGAGGCTTGGCGCGTTACGAAAAGCATTTCCAACAAACTACAGACATTCATCAACAACTGCCTACGCTGGCTCGTTACTGACACTGAAGCTCAGATGGATTGCCAGAAAGAATAAGCAACAAGGAACTCTGGCTGGGAAAGGACCAATCAAGAAGCTATCACTCAACAACATGCGGAAAAGAATGGAGATGGATTGGGCATGCACTGAGAAGGCTGACTGGGGACATGACGCACCAGGTCCTCGAGTTGAACCAGATGGGAAACGATGAGTTGGGCGTCCGAGAAGGAAATGAGAGCTTGTGGACTGTCGTGGAGCCAGGTTCAAAAGATTGCAAAGAACAGAGTGGGATGGAGACGTGCTACTGAAGCCCTATATGTTCCATTAGGAACCCAAGGGACAAATAATAATAATAATTTGAGATGAAGTTTGGCGAACAATGTTCTGCCCTAGCAAAATTTTCACTTCTAATTCTTGTGAATAATATATGAATTATACTACAGAGAAAATTTGTAGTTCAACATGAGGATGATAATTTTTCAATGTTCTCTGAGGCTCGAAATTTGTTCTAAGACTTGACTTTATCAACATTTACTTCATAAATATACTACAGCTAACGCCTAAACTGATTCTAAAAGCTCAGTACATCAAAACAGAAGGTTACAGAACTGATGTCAGTGTAAACGGGCAAAGATAGGCAAGTTGTTGTAGAACTTGACAGAAGTGCATCAGCTCAGTTATTTAGAATAGAGTGGTTAACCAGTCTACTTATAAATCACGGGATGTATCTTACATATTAGATTTGTTTATTTGATATATAGTGCACAGTGATACAGTATTATTTAATTGATTACGTTTCGAGCATAAATTATTGCTCATAATCATATCAATGTAATCACACTTCTTTCGATATCTGATTTTATAGTCCTGTCACCTGATTTTTCTTTGTTTTTTGTTTTTTGATTGGTAGTAAAGTTTTCCATATCTCTGGTATAGGTGTTGCGTCATTCCTATTACATATGTTGGGTGTGGTTTCGATGAACAAAGATTCAGTAATTAATCTCTCTCTCCACCTAGCTATATTAGACTTAAGTACAGTGGTTTTGTCCCACCCTACTGTGTGGTTGTGTGTTGTCAAGATTCCTACGTATAGTTTCTGATGTTCCTTCCTTGTATAGTATCACAATAGAGGTACTGATTTCCTTTCTACTTATGTTGTCGCTATTATTTGTATTTGTATTACTGTTATTATTTTGCTTCTTATGTGTTTGTGTGAATTTCTTAATAAAATGATGGGGATAATTATTAATTATTAATGCTTCTTTTATGTGTTTCAATTCCTTATTTAAGTCCTTAAAATGACTAGTGAGTTTCTTAGCTCTGTTAATTAGACATTTGACTAAACCCGCTTTAACTGACACTGGATGAGATGACTTGAAGTCTAGATACCTGTTAGAATGTGTTGGTTTTCTGTAGACGGTAGTATCTAAACCACCATCTGTCCTTTGTTTTATTCTGCAATCCAACATAGGTAATTCTCCTTGTTCATTTTATACTTCGTAAGTGAATTGGATTGCGTTAACTACTGAGTTTATGTGTGTCAAGAAACCGTCGATATGTTCCGATTTCAACACATATCGCCATCATATCTTAGGTGTCGGATTATATGTTCGTAAAGCCATATCTTCCCAACTGTCCATAAATATATCTGCTACTATAGGGGATATTGGTGATCCCATCGCTATCCCTTCTGTTTGTCTATATATCTTTCCCTGAAACTTGAAGACTGTCGAGGTCAAACATAACTGCACTCCTAACATGATTTCATCAACCGATGCCTTAGTTCTTTGAGTAAGTTGTGAGTCAGTATCTAGTTGATTTCCATCTATTTGAATCCACACCCAACATATGTAATAGGAATGACGCAACACCTATACCAGAGATATGGAAAACTTTACTACCAATCAAAAAACAAAAAACAAAGAAAAATCAGGTGACAGGACTATAAAATCAGATATCGAAAGAAGTGTGATTACATTGATATGATTATGAGCAATAATTTATGCTCGAAACGTAATCAATTAAATAAAACTGTATCACTGTGCACTATATATCAAATAAACAAATCTAATATGGAATTACATTCTAATACAGTGCCCAAGTTTTACACTTAGAAAGATGTATCTTACTTGTATCAAATGGCATAGTGTTGCATAGTTGCATAGTGTAGACGATGCCAGTATTGGTTTTGTACTCTGACCTAAACCAAATTTATGTGAGCCCAACGGTTGACCTTTTTCATTATATGCTGCAACAGCGAAAGCATACTCTTTATTTGGCACTAGATTTGAAACTTTTAGGAAGCAGGAGCCATCATTATTGATCACCTGTGAAGATAATTGAAAATACAACTTGATCACTGAATTTTCAATTGATTAGATGAATGTTACCTGTCTTTATTTGACTGTGACAACTTGCAATATAATGTGTAAATGAAACGCATTAATACAAGTGTAATTTTAGTAACTTAATCCAACATGTCCTTATTTCCGTATAACCCAATAACTTGCTGAAACTTTAGGGAAGTTATTGCTATCTGCATGGTACTGTAAAGCAATCTACTGATTCTTATGCAAAATATCAATAAATTATAAACTAACCTGTTATAATATGGAATAAGATTAACTAAATCTTCATAAGTTGTATTTCCGAAGTTTTGAGAGAAACAGCATAACCCAACATGTAAATATGAAATTGGTTGCAGAGACGAAAATCAATGTGATATTCAAATCTAGAAAGGCCTGGAATAGCCATATAAATTGTTGTTTCAGTACATATTTTCGACGTTGCAAAACACCTTCCGTTATCTTACCTCCTTTCTCTATTTATAAAGCAACTGAGTGACTATCAAGAAGCTGAATCTGAGGGTTAAATCAAGTAGTCGCTACTAGGATATGACAATTGTTGACCAGGTCATAATACATTCTTATGTAAAATGCTAATAAATGATAAACCATTCAAGTTTTTAAATGACTTTAAATTACAAATTTGTATTTGCTGTACAACATACTATACAGCAAAACTAATATTCAACCGTAATGAGAGAAGTAGAGTTTTAGACTATAATCTTTGCAAAGATTTAACCACAACGAGTTAATATGAATTTCATTAGGGTGAATTTCAAAAAATCACTTTCCAATACAATAAAGTTATCATATTTTTGACAAAACAATCATCTTCATTGTTTTTGCATTATTGAAAGCAACATTACTATCTTAAATTAGGGCTTTAGAAAATCTTAGACTTAAAGCATATTTAATGAAAAACTAAGTGAACATAAAGGAATGTTACTGGTTGATGATTGAAGGTGAAACGAGAATCTGAATCTTGGGGTGGCCAGATCAAGATGTGACACCAGTCGATAAAGTCTCTCACGATTGGCCTGAGTCATGTGAGGAGATATGGACTACCTGGCTGGCTTGGATCCTTGAGACGAGAGGATTCAGTGGTTGAGGACTTTTGGTGATATAGCGGAAAATCGATCATAGTGACGCAGACGTATTCATTCCTTGACATTTTCTAAAGCTTGAATATTTTCACTAACTTTTATCTTCAAATTGTTTAGTCTCCTATACAACTTTGTCTGTTTTGATATCACTCTCTTTTGATTCACTTGTTCTTCGTGTGCTACTACTGTGAAGTGTGGCAACTAGGGCCGATGTACCTATGTGCAAGGTTCTATGCTGATCTGGCCAATTTTTCGGCCAGTCAGAATTGGAACCAGCCACCAACCGGTTCCCGACCCGGTTCTCTAATAGCTGAACCAAGAAACTCAGCTGCTGACTGGATCTTAATTTCATTTCAATCACTGAGAGTTTTGCCGGACTGACATGTAAATTGGTGATACGCTACTATCGCTTGATCGTACTCGCGCTGGCTGCCCAGTCAGCAATTCTCATCCCAATCCAAACCTGCAGAAATTATAGACAAGAAGCATCATATTGATTATCAGTTTCAGTGTCTAAGATAACCATGACTCGGCAGACATTTTCTGGTACTAGGTAATGATTGAAAGTAAAATGAAACTTTGGGCCATGATAAGACTCGAACCAGCAATGACTGAAGTAAAATAAAAATCTGATCAGAAGTCAGATCTCGCAGCTCACTTGGTAGAGCACTGAGCAGGAAACTCAGTGGTCATTGGCTTGAATTTCACCATGGCCTAGATTTACGTTTCATCTTCAATCATCACGCAGTATCAATAAAAATCTGCCAAACCATGGCTATCTCAGACAATCAAACTGATAACAAGGAGTATGGCAACATCAAACATAATTATGTAGGGATTTAGTTATTATTACCATTATTCCTGTATTTGTTAGTTTATTGTCAGTAATATGAACTTTTTGGTTGGCTACAAATGTTTGTTTTCCATATAGTGCGTAGGAATAAACCTGTAAAGTAAAGAAAAGTTTATGAGTGCTAAGACTTGATCAATTTTGAAGACACTATATTACTTACAAACTGCATAACAGGAGACAACATATTAATTGATTCTTTATAGGAAAAATGCTTAGTGTAAAAACACTTTTTTCAAACCATAAAAGATATACTATTCGAAAGTGAAATACTAGAAATGTAATGTGTTTGCACAATACATTTCGAACAATCTGGTCATACATTTACTTCTCAAGGCATTTTTTATGAAGGATAAGAGTAGGATGGGATACAGTAAATAAATTAAGATAGAACAAAATTTGAAGCATTTAGGGATAATGAGGAGAAACTATACATTTTCACAATTCTCATGGCATTAAAATGAAATGAAGATTAGCAAGAGAGGTTTAAAGTTAGAATTAATTGTTTTGAACTTCAATGTAACAAAGCCTTCCAGGAACCTAAGTATACGGTCTTAACGGCTCTTATATAACACTCTAAAAACTGTGTTAGTATTAATGCTGAGACCTGTTCCTATAAAATGTTTACCTGTCGGGGAGGATATCTGTCTACCCCATGTATTTATCAGATAATTCGAATATAATTGTCTTTCTGACTATTTAGGAGTATGCTCTACCACTGTCAAATTCATAGTTCGATTACTCCTCTGAATTTGTGTCACCGCATACAAATGTAAATTGGCATACATATCGGGATATGACCTAATCATCTATGCAATGATAAGGTTTATTTCGAAGCATGAGTTTCGTTTTCTTTATGACACTGAGCTTAGCTGCATAGTATGTCTCTTTAACAACTGAAATAACCCTTCGTCTTACGACCATGCTGTTTGATTCCCCCTTCTGTAGTAGCTTGATGTGAACGTTATTCTTCGGGATAGAACATTGATTAGTTCACACAATTGTAAAGCTTTTATAACAACTGATGTACTTCAGTAGATAGGTGCTATCATGAGCGTCTCCAGAAATCAGATGACTTCAGCTTCTTCATGATTGTCCTCATGTTTATCTTTCTAGTCATTTAGGGATATGCTCCACTACTCTCGACTTCATAGTTCATCGGACAAATTTTGTTAGGTCACGGCTAAACTTATTGGTACAAAAGCTTATAGGGTTCTAATTATTCTGGCCAAATCAGAAAAATAGAAGTGAATTCAGAAAATTGAGTTTTTTGTGTTACACTTCGAAATATGCTGAAAATCAAGACATACTCCTTTAAAGAGAATAAACCGAAATTCTCAAATCATCCAAATAACCCGTAACTGAACAGCAAATCAGTTTAGGAGTTGGTATGATAAAGGCATAGCTGGTGCGATAAGATTATACTTAGAGACTGCAAACAACGAAATATGAAGTGGTTAGATTAGGCTTTTGGTTTCATGGTTTCGAATCTCTAAAACATGGTTGTACTTCCACAAATTATATAACTTGTAACGTTATCCTCAATTTCTAAGCACATTCATTCTTTTCAAACCAATTAGTTAAGCTTAGTTGGTTGAAACGATTTTGTTTTACGAGTTGGTTTTTAGATCATAGTGACCTAAATGGTTGCCCTGTAACTATTCTTGTTATTATGCAACATATGCTAACAGTTCATTTTCAGCTATCTACATTCAGAAAAATTCATGCAATAACAAAATTGCAACATGAAAATATTGCAATTTTATTCCTTTCATAGATTAAAAATACACAACAGCGATTGTTCACGTTTCTTGTTACCATGATACTAATTTAGCTGGAATATATACATGCAAGTGGTCTTACTTTTCATAACACAGCTTTTTAGTTTACTAATTTTTCAATCAACTTTATAGATTAGAATTAGTAAACATTTCACCACTTTTATTAGGAATCAAATTTCAAGCCGAGATCCAGAAATCTTTTGATTTATTTCAGTAGAAAGAAATCTGTTCAACTACTTGCATTACCGTGGTCGTCAAGATGATGTAACATTTATTATTACTTTGTACACCTCTTCTGTATCTTGCTCCATCAATATTCATTCACTTTCTTATTTGGTGAAATTACTTATTATCGATGACTGACTACTCGAGAAAAAACACTCTACTTACCTTAACAGTTACTGTGCAGTTTTCCTGGGAATAACCTGTTTGACGTTTTTACAATTACAATTTTTAGCTGTTTGATTGTTCTGTTGATGATTTACATCTTGATTTTTCAAACTTATCATCTTCATGATTTACTTAAGATATACGGTTATTTAAAAGTAGTATTAATCATGGACTGACATCAGTTGGGGAACCATTGAAAACCTGGGAGCACTGGACAGCTGTTTCGTCCTAGTATGGGACTCCTCAGCAGTACGCACCCACGACCTTGCCACAGATCGAACTCAGGACCTTCAGGTTTCAGGGCGAACGCGTTAACCATTCCGCCATAGGGTCGGTTTCCAGTGGTTAATAATTTCCAACTTCTGTCAATTCACAACATAGTGCGACTACCAACCAAGGTCTTCAATGGTTTCCCAACTGATGTCAGTCCATGATGAGTACTACTTCTAAGTTAAAAAATCCCCATTAATCTCAAAAATATGTACGGTTATTGTTTATCAGTCCCTTACCACTTGATTGATATTTTAATTGAATTGTTAACCTATTATTAGTTTAGAGCCAGACAGAGACATAATCGAAAAAGAATATATTTCTTCGCTTAACCAGCCTTTTGATTTGTTTTTAGGCATATTATGCTATGCTAAAACTGTAAATTCTGAAGGAATTACGGAAGACTTCGACTCTTCCATTAGCTCCTTGTTTTTCAACAATGAAGAACAAAATGTAACAAGTTATTGTATTAAAAGTTCCTCGTTTCGACGATTTCACAGTCGAAATCTGTACAGTCGTATTCATACATGAGTTAGGGTAGACAATAACAAATTTGTTTGTGTATTTCATCCCTACAATAAGTGAAATCTTAATATCCAGTAATATGAATGAAAATAATTTTTCAAGAGCCATCAAATGAATTAGAGAAACGTAGCAAACTGAGGGCAAAACATGAAATATAGGCGGCAAATATGTGAACGAATATGGTGTGATTTCCTTTAAAAAATGGGTGAGAGAAAATTATACGAAACAACAAATGTGAGCATCAAGCAGACAAATTACGAAATGATAAGGATTAAGAGAAGCAAAAATATTATGAATATAAATAAAAAAGCTTTAGTTGTTTAAAACACGTAGTTGGAAATAGTAAGTTCGTTCCAAGGTAATGAAATGGACCGTATAAACTGTTTTTGCACATATAATTCTGTTTTAAGGTGATGCATCACCAGGTCTTCTGTCATATAAAGAATATGTATGCGTACACTTTTGAATAAGTTTAATTCAACGCTTTAAAAATATCAAATAATGACTTGGAGGTTGTATAAATGTAGACGACTTCTTGTTGGTGGGTTGATGAATTTATACTTCTTCGCCACCATGTACTTAGTAATAATTCTCGGTAAATTCAAATGCTTAGTAAGATCAGATAAAAACTTTCGAAGTATATAGGACATAAAGAAGACAAATAATGTCTTGATTTGTGAAACGAAAAGCTGGATGTTACAGAATAGATTTCTAACCTTATCAAACATATACATATATATATTTAAAAATTCCATTTTATTTACCGATTCTTTAGTGGGTGGAATCCACTTCTGAGCCTTAAATACCATTGAATTTTCACATTTAGCAACTAATATTGGTGGAGGTGGTCGATCAGACAGAATAGTACCATTTTCTGACTCACTAAAATCCTCTGATGGATGTGTACAGGTAGTGCCAGTGTTCTTAATAACATAAGTTTCATTCTGCCATTTTGTAAACAAGAACTTCTCAGCAGTCTATTAGAATTAAATAAAGAGAAATGTATGATAAACATATGAGTCCTGAAAAGTAATCTGAAACATCAGTTTAAACTCTGGTATGAGATTAAATGGTAATATGTTTTAAGAATTCAAAGTTAACTGAGACTGGTCAAGAACCTCATTCCATATTAGGTAGGATTATACCTCCTGTGAACAATCTCATCAATTCTTTGTATAAACAGAATATTAACAGTAAATTCTACCTTTATCTACATTAATGGAACTGACATTCTCTCTTCACTAATTTCAAGAGGAAAGTTAAAAACATTATGTAGTACAGTTTTTCAGTGAAAAATTAAGGACGAACTGATTGAGTTATGTGCAAAACTACGAAGTAAAAACAGATTGTTCTTATTTGTATTGCTGTTTGTCATTTTGACTGTCTGGGCAAGATAGCCCTTGTTTGGCAGACTGGTTGTCAGTAAGTACAATACCGTACCGGAAACCTAGCGGTCGCTGGTTTGAACCCACTGCAACCAGAATGTTCACTTCACCGTCAATCATCACCCAGTATTTATATTACTGAAACATCAGGTTACAGTTAAGGCTGATAAGCAATTCAGCAGTTAAACATTAGGAACTCTCGATGTTTATCTGATTGCGAAAGCACAGTTGATGAAGTGCGTACGAAAGCAAATAAACAGCTAATAATTTTATCGAGTGGTCAAATACAGTTACATTTTTTGTATGAACCAATACACAGGATAGTGTAGAAAAGACAAATGTTTAGTGCTTGATATCTGTGGTGCATTGGGCAAGTGGAAGGAGACGTAAGATGACCATAAGTAAGAAAAGAAACGTCTGTACTGACCATAAAAGAAGATAAACAACCGTTTGATTATACGTACCAAAGTGGGAACCGACAAAATAATCAGAACACAATAAAATACTACTTAATTATATTAGGTAGAACAAGGCGGAAAGACATAAAAGTAGAATTATATTTCTTTTCATCACCATGTAGCATTGATTTTCACTAACAAAATGCCATTCCGAAACTCCTTTTTATTTAATGCTTTGAACACAAGCTATACCTCAAATAAATTGTTCACTTTTTTATGGCAGTTAACACATTACTATCAGATGACCAGAATGCTACGTAGAGACGTTTGTACACAATTGAAAAAGTATTCATTCCAAAGGTAGGTTAAGTAGCTGTTACACAACAGGTTATGAATCAAAAAGCATGTCATTTATTTTTGATACTATGACCCACAAAGGAAAGGTCAGTGATGCCTTTGAAGTGAAGACAGGATTAAGACAATATTGCTGCCTACTATCTTATCACCAATGATCTTTCTGATTATCGTGGACTGGATTATGCATCAAAGCGCGAAGGGCGAGAAGATGGGCATGTGCTGGCTGGACCAATGAAAATAACACAGAAGAAGATTTGGATTTCGTCGATGATGATTTATGTTTAATGTCACATACGCTCGAAGATCTACTGGCGAAAACTAACAAGTTGACAGAAGAGGCGAGGCGAGGCAGCGAAAACAGAACTTCAAGTGAACATGAATGTAGAAAAAACATAGGTGATGAAGATACCCAAGCAACAACAGCACCACCAACAAGAGGCACCAATCACCATGAACAGGAGAAACCTAAAGGAAGTAGCCTCTTTCACCTACCTACCTAAGCAGCATCGTTTCAATTACAGGCAGAGGCACAGACGAGGATGTCAAAACCAGGATCGGAAAAGCAAGACAAGCTTTCATTAGTCTGAAATCGGTGTGGAGATCTACTGCACTCAACACATAAAGTAAACAAGATCCGGATTTTCAACATCAACGTCAAGTCAGTGCTTCCATATGGTTCAGAAACTTAGCGTGTCACGTAAAGCACTTTCAATAAACTGCAGACATTCATCAACAGCAGCCACTTACGCTCACTCGATACTGAAGATCAGATGGCCAGAATACTAATAATAAGCATCATGGAACTCTGGGAACGCACTAACCAAGAACATATTGCCCAACAAATATGCAGAAGAAAGTGGAGATGGATTGGGCATACACTGCAAAGGCCGATTGGGGACATCATGTGCCATACCAAGCCGTCTAGTGGAATCAAAAGGTGAAACGACGAGCCGGGCGTCTGAGCCCAGGGTGACATGGGAGAGATGGTATGAGGAAGAAATGAAAGCTTGTGGGCAGTCGTGGAGCCAGGTTAGAAAGACTGAGGAGCACAGAATGAATTGGACGCTTGCTACTGAAGCCCTATGTTCTACTAGGAACCCAAGGAGAAAATAATAAATAATAATAAAATCTTAAGTTTATCTAAGCAAAACCCAATGAAAAACCTACGAGTTTCGGGAGAGAAAGATTAACTTTAAGGATAAAAGTGACAATGACAATTACAAACAGAATATTTCATATCGTAGATGAAATCTAAACAATGTTATTAAATTCTCTTTTTTTTTCTATAAGTTTTTACCTGATAGTATTTTTTAGCCTTTTCATCGTTCACTTCAGTTTCTGCTTTTAGACAATAATAAAAAACTTTTGAAATTGGATTTCGATCACATTCTTTAAGTAGATTTTCATTCATTTGATCAATTTTTTTATCAACTTTTTCATTTGTTGATTCATTTGAATCACACCATGCTAACCATTCTAAATAAAATCAAAAATTAGTAAAATAAGTCTGATTTTTTGTAAATCCTTGTTTTAGCAATTCATAAAGGTCACGTTTTGTAATATACAAAGAAATTTTATCACATCAATGGATTCTCCATGGATGTTTTCTTCATTCCTGTTTCTTTTTAAGGAATATGTGTAATTCCACAGGATTCAATTCAAATTCTTTTAAAATGTAGCTACATTATGTTTTGATACTTATATTTTCCTGTTGATATACACGTTGGATTACTGGACCTGTGTTGGCAGATAGGCTTCTATATGTGGATGCCTCAATACTCTCGGATTTCATGATGTCATACTTATCTTGGTGACTAACAATCCACAACGCTTGTTTCGATAACTCTTTGGCGTTTGATGCAATAGGTAGTGGTTTCAAGTCTCAATGGGAATAATATCATTCACTGGGGTGTAAGTACATGCAGCTGAGTTCCAAATAGGGTAAAACGCTCGTCCTGAATTTCACTGCCAGTCACCAAGATGAATATGTAGCAACATTTTGATAAATTCAACTATCCATAGTTTATTTACTGCCGAATAAATAATGAGAAGTTCCAGACAAATTATATTTGCTGATGATCTTCATTACTACCGTGTAGTGAGTAACAAGGGAAGATAAATAATAGGAGTGGTTAACTGATATTCTGTTTAACCCGGGTTCCAACACATGGATAGGATGAAATGAAATAAATGTCTTCTGAGCTTTTCGAAAATGTTTATTGTTTGTTATCGCATTTCGGTAGTACTCCTTGGTGACCAGCAGCGATATTCGCAAGTAATCATTTCAACAAACTTGCATCTCCATAAGTGTTGGTGTCTAAATTCGAGGATAAACCCTGCATCGATTGTTTAAGATGCTTTAACACCTTTACAAGGATAGTTAATAACCTACTGGATATATTGTGAGATAGCATCAGATTATTATCATTATGTACGACCATTAAATATATACTGCTTCCTTTTAGAAACGGATAAATATCATACTTTCTCCCGAAATTGACATTATAACGTTAAATTTGTGTTGAAATTGTGATTTTAGCAAAATAATTCAATGAATAAACGATCAGGCCCACCTAAGTTTCGAAGCTTCCAACGGACTGTGTATTCGAACCAAAGCAATTCAACTTGTATCTCTGATAGAGCGTTAAGTTCCAAGTTATGAGGCTGCATGTAATTCATATTGTACAGAATAAGAAAAAAGTCAATTAGTATGGTCACTTAGGCTACCGATTGGTACTTAGAAGAACAAAAAACCCATAGTGCATCTTAATAACATCAGCAGTTTACTTACGACAGCTTTATGTATCTTAGATCCCTATATAATAACAAAATGATTTTTTGATAAAGTTAGTTTATATCGTTTCAATAAGTTACTTTAGTAAGGAACATACTATATTTTATTTGAACAAATCTCTACAGATTTGAATAAGTGATTCATTAGGTCTTAAGTTTCACTTGGTACACAAAATTCTGAATGATCAAGCACCACTTTCACTTTTCGCATAACATGTATAGCTCATGTCCTAAAAATAAAGGATGGACTTACTGAGGTAATTTGGAAGTAGTCTCATGCTATGAACAAATAATCACTTTTACCTGAAAAGATTTGGATTTAAACTTCATATGTAATTTAGAATGAGTGAATCTGAAGGTCAGTCTGGCAACTATTGAAATAAATAGTTAGGCCTTTGTATTTCATCTGAAATGTTAGATTTTTATGAAATCAAAAAACTTAATTGATTATTTCGAAGGTTATTAGAGTGACCTTCAAGGGCATTCATTTGACAATTTATTTAAGGAACAGTTTAAATTATTATGAATGCAGCACATCTACACTAAATATGACACACTAGTTTTACCACTGCACAAGTTGTACATAAGATATGGTTTGGGGATTTGTGAATTTCTATCTGTGAAAAGATACTGATGCTTACCTTGAAGGCTGTAACCTTTCCTACTTTTTCTACTGCAACCTTACTACTTTTTTTGACCTGAACATATTTAAATCTGTCTTGCTTTTTCCTCTTTGTGCTGCTCTAAAATACAACACCTTAAAAAAACCATTTTCACCAAAGCCTTAATGTTTTTTTTCATGCCTCTGCTTATTTTTCTATTAGGTAGAGCATTTCTCTTTACTTTAGTAAACAGTTATCCGCTGCTTCAGTTAGCAGGTTATCACATCAATGGATACTTTTCTGCCATATTTATCAATTCATCATTCTGTGAAGTTATTTGTGTACAATGAGTTTATACAAAATATTATCACGTGCTGAATACTTAACAATGAGAAACTGAAAATTCTCGCTTTTATTATTTTCAACCATATCACACATTATTTGACTGATTTCTGTCAACCCTTCAGACTTGAAACCAACACATATATTCGACAGATGTATATATCTGTATGTATACATATGTATTTTCGAGATGAATGGGGATTTTAATTTTGGTGTAATATTCATCACGAACTGACGCACGTTGGGGAAACCAGTAAGACCTGAGAGCACTGGATAGCTGGTTCGTCCTAATATAGGACTCCTTAGCAGTACGGACTCTATTGCGAATTAACAGAAGTTAGGAACTGTGAACCACTGAACTAAAACCCAGTGGCTGAAATTTTAAAGCGTTCGCCGTGAAACCTGAAGGTCCTAGGTGTGACCCCTGGCCAGATCGCGGGCGGGTACTGCTGAGGAGTCTCATACTAGGTCGAAACAGCTGTCTGGTTCTCCTGGGTTTTCAGTGGTTCTACAATTGACTTCAATCTGTGATGAATACTAGAATATATATAATATATATATATATATATATTATATATATATATATATATGCCTAAATGAAGTCTATTTTCTTTCAAATTTCCCAAATCTGATCACTGAATATCTCACATGTTCGTTGAGTTTTGATATGCTTGTTGTAAAATTCCTGGTTCATGTGGAAAGAGTGGTCACAACGAAGAAAACATTACACCACAACAAGCTTACTGAATTACGCCACTCCAAACTTTTTATGCATGTCATCAAATTCTATTTGTATTTCAAATATACACCGTACATTTTTTGGCACAACAAAATACTTACCTGATTAATTTGCAGGTGAATCACTCTCTCGTTAATTGTACTTCGGGCCCAATCAATCACACCTTTCACTTTTTTCCATATACTAGTCCAGTCACCAATTATACATACCGTGGACTGATCACATTTATTGAATTCTCTGGAGGCTTCAAAAAAGGTGTAATAAGAGTATTTCAGATAACCGTCTCAAATAATAAAGTAAAAGTCTGTAATTCGTATGCTAAGAATTGTCTACTAAAATAACCTTTTACTGAGATATGTAACTTATAGTCTACATTAAAATATTTGTGATGTCAGTCCCTGATCACTACTACCTTGAAATAAAGTCTATATAAACCTCAAATTAAAATGACTATGTAGTACTCACTAGTGACAAGCTTCGAGATGAATATCTCGATGATCTAATGAGAAGCAATTACCTCTAGGGTCAACCAGTCAGAAGTGAAGCAGATACCAACTGAGGACCTTGGATGATAGTCGCGCTGTATTGCGAACTGAGAAAATAGGACAAGGTAGACTATTGAACTCCAGCCCAATAGCTGAGTAGCTAACGCCTTCTCTGAGAAATCTGAGAGCCTTTAGTCGAGCTCTGGCGGTACGTTGGGTAAGTACTGTTTAGGATCCCGTACCATGGAGAGAAAGCTGTCCAGTGCTCCCAGGGTTTCACGGTTCTCCAAATGATATCAGCCCACAAAGAATACTTCCTTGAAATAAAATCTCTGTGATGCTGAAACTGGAATTTTTGAAAGACTATACATTTATTACAAATAAATCACAACTTGAATCCCTGTTCAACTTCGTGAAAACGAAAAATTAAATAACTTTTTTCAGAAAGTAAACTAACTAATCTGCTTGTCAACGAATTTAGTTACTGAATGTCCAGTTTTACAAATCTTCTTGAGGTTTAGTACTACAGATATTATCACTGGCATCAATATAAAGGTCTTGTAGAGTCACACTGAAGACAAATATTAAACTGGGGTCACGCGTTCTATATGCAGTACATTCTAAGATATCATTGGCACTGTCATTACAACTGTTTCTAAAGGAGTCACTGTTCTCCAGAAGAGTTCTTTGAACCATAGATAGTGTACTTTTTGATGAAATCTGCACGTAAACGTTCGCTGTGAAATAAATGATATGAACAATAGATTGAATGTATCTTACTACTGAAAGATTAGTTAAAAAAATTCGATACCAATGTTATACAATAATCTTCGGAAATTAATTAGAGCATTCAGTTTTACAATAGTTCTTTAGCTCTCAACCTTCATTCCTACCATGTTTAAGGCAAATGAATGATTATCTACCTTCACCAGTCAATTCTATAAAACATTGATAAACCAACAGTTGAAGTTGTAATGAAAAACTGTCTTTGCGGTTGGTTATGGGTTGGATTTTGAAATATGCGTAACCATTTATAATGCAAATGAAATTCGATTAAACTTCGCTCAATTTACCTCGAGATTCTTTCAGTTTTAGTTGTAAATCAAATGCCTGTAACACGTCCCTGATATTGACATTGTTATTTGATAACTGCCGATTTGATGCTTCCGGTGAGTTGTGAAAAATGAACATTTTATGCTCGAATAACTCCATAATCCATATTGTGTAGAATGCCAGATTAGCTGACATCAATCCGTCTGCTACATCAATATTTAGCCATTCAACTGTAGTTCTTATGAGACTCAATAAATAAAGAAGCTAAATATAATAAAAGTTGAAGCCAAAAAAGATGTATTCTATATCATTTAAATGGAGTATGACGATAAAAAATAAAGAAACTCAAAACTATATTTTGCGGGTTATGACTGACAGGTCGTCTTTAAAAAACACCTTACTAGCTGCTTGGAAAGATATTAAGATAGTCCACGTACCTAAGTCAGGGACTCCAGGGACATGTACAAAATTCTGGCTGATTGTAGTTGCTTCTTGAAAATAATAGAGAAGTTATTAATACCCGTGCTCAAGCCCTCACTAAAGGTTTTCGGAGACCCTAATCAATTTGCACATAAAAGCAGAAGAAACACTTGAATGCCACCACTTTCTTTTATCACGAAATTGCTTATATTCTTGATAGAAATAACAAGTATGTCAGGTGCACCTTTCTAGAGCATACTTAAGCATTCGATTCTGCCTCAAGACCTTCTTAGCTGGACAAGTTATCCAAGAAAAATACTGAGTCTTAGATAATCAGCTGGCTGCATTTCTATTTCTTTGATAGGAAACAATATACTGTTCATAGAGGGAAGCGCATTTTTTCTCTTTCTGTCTGCATGACTTACCATTTGTAGCTGGTATCCATTTCATCGAATATGCTGATGACCTAACAGTTTTCATACCTATCTCCTCTTCAGCAGATTGTTCTCAACTGAATGATTTCCTAACTACTGTTAGATGATAGCATACGGAAAATGTTCTTATACTTAATTCCTTAAAATATCAGGCTATAAACTATAGTTTCTGACGTAAATATAACCTATGTAAACTGTTTAGTTCTCAAGATTCTTGTTCGATTCATAGAAGAAAGTATTAGAGATGAGCTAACTAATCAACCTCTGTCTCTGAAGGCAAGCTAATTGATGGTGAGTATGTTACTATTTATGCATTATGAACCTAATTACTAGTGTGATTGTCTACCTAAACTAACTGCACATTTTTAAGAAATTTGTAGATGGAGTGAATATTCCTATCTTTTATTTATGTGTAATTTATACTTATTTCATTTTGCTATATATATATATATATATATATATATATATATATATATATATATATATATGACGTGCTGAAGATTCTGTAGAGTATTTTCAAAATAGCTTTCAGAATAAAGCCATTATTATAAATAAAATATTTTGTAAATATATTTTACTATTTAAACTATTTATTTATTTACTATTTATTTACAGGGTTTATTCTCTAAAAAAGCTATAACCACGAAGTCGCGAAACGTCAGAAATTTATTTTTTACTTCATTGGGATTTTACAAATATACTTCGTATATAATCCAATTACCCAATACTCAACTTGTTCAACTCTATCTCAACAAATTTTGATCCTGAAATTTACAAAGCCGTTATTATGATGATGACGATGATTTGGTAAAAAAAAGGGATCTGACAAACCTTTCAGTATATTCAAACAAAATTAGGAGGAAAAGAAACAAAGGTTGAATGGGTCAGTAGATCCATAAAACTACGGTAGATTGGTGTTCAGTGAGTGTAGTAACATGAAGTATGAATGAATTATCATTATGAAAATAAAGTTACCACTCATTAGCATATCACACCTGGCCTATCATTCTTTTATTCCTTCACCTAGGAATCAAACTTACTACTCAAATGAGTAAAGAGAGAGGAATTAATATGTAACTTATTTCATATCAGTCGGAGAGTCTACATCGTGTCTTGTTAACTTGCGACCACCAGCTTAATTCACACTGACCTACTTTTCTGTGAGTAATGCAGCAGGCAGTGTGAAAGGAAGAAGGACTTGAAGAATTCATAAATTTCAGGGAAACTCGTCAGCTGGGAACTCTAATTACCTGATTATATATACAGTATAGAAATGCTGGAAAGCAGACATACATACATAAACAAAGTGAGACATAAATTAAGGTGTAAGATCATAGAAGTGAATAATTTTTGCAGGTCGGCTGGTAATTCACAGAGGCTGAGGTGGAGATGAATTAAGTCGTTCTTAAAAAGTGTAGATAATGATCAAATAAGAATTTGGACAATAATCCAGGGCAAAAGAATCATTTGGCTTTTGAGTGGAAAGTAATTATGTTAACAGTAATTCTGACGTTGAGATGAAAACTGAGTAGTTTCAAGGCAGATTATATCATTTTAAAAGAAGAGTTAACAGTTAATTTAGAGTCTTGGTAAGAGTTTATGACTAAGTATCAACAGAAAACTAGGTATGTATTAGAATTATTACTTACAGAAAAACAATAAGAATAACGTAAATTAAACAAAACAGACTATAAGCAAGAGGAACAAGCAAGATAAAATGACTGGTTGAAGACAAAGTACAGGTAAGAAAGGGTAAGCAAGGCTGGATCACACTGTAATTAAAGCTAACTGCTTATTTCTTCTTCACGTAGAGGTTTTATCTGACAACTCAAGCCACACGGACTTCTGACATTACAGGCGTCTTATTTTTCTCTCCTCTGAAAACCGTAATAGTCTAAAAAGTATCAATATAATATTTGTTTTTCATTAGATGGTTAATTACCTTGATTCTTGAAGTTTTCTTATTCAGCAATTTAATTAGGTGCTCGGTTGTTCGAACAGACTTATATCCCTTCATACCACCTGCAAATATGCTTCCCAAAACGCATTCGAAGTAATATACGCCTTCGTAGGTGTCAAAGATTACCGTTTCGTCTTCCTGTGATTGTTGTGATATCTCTTCGGCATTTATGAGATGAAGCTTGTCGGTATAACGGGTTTTCCCGGCGGATTTTTTTCAGTCTTTTTCTAAATGCCTCTTGAACGTCATCACCTCTGATATCAATTACTAATTTTGGTACTGTAATGGAAATCATTTCCTTTCTAACTCATTCCGCATACTACTTAATAAAGTCTTCTGGATATCTATTTCTTACTAGGATTTTTTTCAAAGCCCTCATTTCATAGACTGCTGTGACATCAAAACAGATTTGCAGGTTGCATCAGACGGTGGTTTGACTGAGTTCTTCTTGAACTGGGTTGAAACAAAAGTCTACAGAAGGAGGTATTGTTCAATCCATGACGATTTTCTATAAATAAGTCTTCCGAAAGATTCCAATAAATTCATTTCACTAAAGAGAAATCTAAGAATCTGATCACATTATTTCCTTACACTTTATCATGAAACTCCGATTATGATAAAATGTTTTAATCCCTTGATAGTGTTTGTGACTCTATTTCGTTTGGATTAACCAGCAAAATACCACGCATTTACTGCTAATATGGTTGTTTTCTCTATGAAACATTCCAAGATACTAGTTTCCAGATTTTAGAGGAATAAGTCATAGAAAAAGGGTTCCAAATAGCCTCACGTTATAACAGTTTGACGAAATAAGTGACTTCTGAATATATCTGACACATAAAAATAAAAAAATTCCTCAGCTCTTTTCTTTAGATAGGTAAGTTACCAACTACTTTAATCACAGCAACTTAAATCGATACTTTTGAAACATGAGTTACCATGGCTGGTGGCGTCAGATATACCTTCCAATTGGACCCCATTAAAGGATTTCGATTGTACTCATTCGAATCATGCAGCCTCAAGTGAGTCCTGTATCCTTATTTTCGTCACTACCTCTCGGTGCTAAGAGTGGGTAATTTTCACCCCTGCTGCCGTTCTTGGAGGTAATATTCATTTCTCAGGCCCCCTCTCCGGGAATTACAAACTTCCTTACGTATGTAGAGTATCCAGCTGATGTATTCTACTACAACTTTTCAATTCATTACCACTTACTTCTTTCAAATTAGTGCTTGTCTTAAATTTGTATCAGGAAGTAAATGTTTTCTTTCCTGGTAAACTGAAGCTTACCAAAGAAGATAGTTGCAAGATATCTGTTGTTTATAAAAATGACTATTTGCTATGTTACTAATGGATAATATCACTCTCTGAAAAACCTGAAAATTATATCAAAAATAGATTAGATGTATTCAACTAATTGTAATATATTTGAAACTAGACAGTCAAGATTTATAGAAAACAGAGTATGTGTAATCTTAAGAGTGCTCGTTCTTCCTCTGGACTTCAACTCCAGTATTCTGGCAACTAGTTGTCATCTATGCGAAGCAAAAGAGTGTGATAACGGCTCTCCTCCAGGAAATGAGTCATATATCTATCTTTTTTTAGTCAAGACTAATATAAAATATATAATCTTACAAAAGCTTTGCAAATCCATTAACTTATAAGCTGCTGATACTTGGCACACATATTGCTGACTATATACTCTATTTTAATGAATAACTCAGTCGACTTGGCACACTAATGCATAGGTCTAAGAAACTACACACAAAATTGCAAATCAACAATACGATCGTGTTTAAATGAGTTCATGATTGAAAAAATAAATACTGTGAGATAAATATTTACATGTTTATAAATCTAAACAAAAGTCATTATAGAAAAGATGAACTCACTCCGAGAAATTTGCTTCTATTTCCATCGAAATACTCATGTTTTATTCTACTATATAACAACCATTTTTGACAAGTTGTATGACAGTACTCCCAAAGTACCAGAATAGCATCTACGAAAATTCCTGTATCATAAAAATTAATCTGAAACTATATTTATAGCACAAAAAAAAATTCATATTCTTACTTTAAACTCATCCTTTTACTGATTAAACCTTCCAGTTTTTCTACCAGTTTAAGGATTCCTTTAGGTAAAAAATCTGTGAAATACAAAGTATTTTTAAGATGGACTGTTCACATAACTTACCTAGAATAAATGTTTGATCTTGTGTTGGCCGAGTTAAATTCACTTCTTTTTCATTGTCTAATGAGTCCATCATCTGTAATATTTAGAAAAATAGTTGAAATTTGTAAACTGTGTGAAGTCATTACAACTCACTCAAGGAATAATAGAATTGACAAACAAGAATCTGACTTAAATAAGATTGTATATGGAGTCGAACCTGCTTTTCATATACTTGAAATGAATCACTTTCATCAGATTTATTCTCAATTGAAGTTTCTAGTTTACTTTGACTTTATGTTTACCCATTACCAGAGATTATTACTTATAATTTGACTAATTTCAGCAAATATACTTTTTGTACCTTAACTTAGTTATCAGTATATCTGTTTCTACGTATTTTGTTTACCCTCACTTTTATACGGGCGTTAAGCTGCAGTTGTGTAGTTCAATCACTCAGGTATTAACTGCTGTCACACAAATTAAGATACACTTCATCTATTTCACCGTAAGATTTCAGGCATTCTCATCAACCACTACATGTTAGATACACAATACCAACTCAGATATCATTTGAAACAGAGAAAAACTTGAAGTGAAAAGGCCTTACAGTTAGGGGATAGAGTCAAACGATAGAAATTCTGTTCATAGGGATCAAAATTGAAGAGATTTAAGACAAACCACTACATTCTGAACAAAGAAGAATCCAGCCGAATAAAAAGTTTGATATAAGTGTGAGACTAAACAACAGTGGAAACTTTCAGTAGAAAAAGTGATCATGCCAATAATAATCTCGTTTTTATATCAGATAAGAAAACTGAATAAGTTAAAGTTTAACTAAATACATCACCTTGAACAAAACTGTCAGCAGTTAATCAAGAGTTTTGCAAGAGGTGTATAGCAGACAAACTTGAGAGAATCGGTTGTATAATGACGAATTCAACTGAAATTTATGAATTCATTAAATCCTGTTTTTCACACTGCCTGTTTGCTTTGATTTTGTACTAACTGTAACTCTTTTTAAATGGCTATATGTTCTAATAAGAAGAACATATTTGTAATAAAATTTACACCAGTGAACTTCACGTAATACTCATAAGGCAAAAATTCTTTCGGTAAACAGTTTTTATTGTGTACAAAATATGCCGACTTCCCTCATACACGATTGAATGTGTCGGCTACTTCACTTACTTGGGCAGTTGCATCCACATATCATAGGGCGAGTATACTGTACTACACTCCGTTGTATCTCGATGTACGGCTGTGCGTCATGGCCATTCACCGTTGAAGACGTGAAGCTATTACAGGGTTGTGATCATAGATACCTTCGTAGCATTGCTTGCGTTAGTTGGAATCATCGTGTGAACAACCATGAGGTCAGGTGAAGGGTAGTAGGTAAGATAGGTAAGTCAATTGATGGGGTTGTGAAGGTTAGTTGACTGAGACGGCTTGGATTTACCGCCTGTCCCGATGCACCATGTTAGGGGAAGTTGAATTAGGTTGGAAGAGGGTTCAAGATGCCCAGACCAAGACCTAGCACTAGTCGGTGAAGTCTCTCACGATTGGCCTGAGTTGTGTGGGGTGATGTAGACTATCTGGTTGGGGTCCACAGTCTGTCTACTTCCAATCACACGATTTTTATCGACTTTTTTGCGTATTTCTATGAAGTGTCGCAACTTCAGCCGATGTACCTATGCATGAGGTTCTACGTTGATTATACCAGTGTTAGTTATTCATACAAGATTTACTTAACCTCTATTTTAAATAATGCCATGTATATATATTTAAATAGCGAGTGAGTTGTGCATTTGGGTTACTTGTACTCGACACTTGAATGTGATATTTTATGACCGTGTGATTATAAATTGTTCTGAATATAATTGGTAACATTGAATTGTCCCAACTCTTACCAAATTCGATGTATCCTGTTGTGTCGAATTTTTACTTGAGTTAACTACCCGAACTTCCTGTGAGTTCACATCTTCCATTGTCTCACTTTTACTTAGCAATCTTTTTGATAGATGTGCAGAATGTAAAGCACGAAGTAATTCTATTGTATCAATTTGTACTTGAATATGCTGAATAAATTCTCTAGGTGAATTTTCTTTGGTTAGTTCTAATAATTTTCCCTAGGTTAAGGAAAGAAAAAAATTGATTCCAGTTAAAAATACTTTTATCACGTAAATCTTCAAGGTCAGTACTTAGCTGTAAACAGTCACCGTTACTGAAGTACAATTTAAATTAGATAATATCGTCCATTTCTTAAGTATACGAAGAAAATAATACGGAAAATATCATCTCATACTGGGACTTCATAAGTAATATTTTGTTACATTCAAACGTATGATTTATCTCAAGGTTTCCATATTCCTCGTTTAGATTTTAAAAAAACCTGTAGGTTTTGTAAAAGAGGAAATATAAAAACAAATCACGATAATCAAAAACGTTCTGTGGGTACAAAATATTTTACATTCGACTATATGTAAACAGGTAGATAAACGACTTTGAATACGACAAAGTTATATATATATATATATATATATATATATATATATATATATACATGTATATATATATATATATATATATAATCCAGAAAGAAGAACCGGAATCCGAAAGGAGAGATTCAATAATTCCAGGAAAAACGTTCATTAATAGACAAGCGTAATAGATGCAAGAAGTCTTACAATTATGACTCTTTCAAGGATTTTTCAAGTTACAATGAACTGATTATTCATTACTACAGAATCAGTGTAAAACATTTCATGAAATGATACATTAGATGAATAGAAAAATTATCTGTGACAAATACTAGAGATGAATTTCACCATCAGAATAGCGTTCAAGCCAGGATTTATTAATAGTTCTTATTTCTCACTTGCTTCTGGCTAAATTCTAACAGTTACTTCATCAATCTGGATGTAAACTGTTGTCTAGAATGTCTGAGTAATAAAATGTATCTGATTAAATAGCGTCTTCAGGAGTCCTTCGAAATTATTACATCTACGTAACTGGGTTTAACTTGGACTGATAGAAAGCAAAGTAATTAGTTTGGGGAACCATTTATTGACAAGTTTTTAGTACCGATAGAAATTACTGTCTTCCTAATGAAACTGATCTCTTATTTCATCAAGCTACTGGGTCTTATCAATTGAATGAAGCTTAAAAATAATCACAAATATTCCAAACTGGTCACTAATCCATTAAAATTACCACTGAAATGTAATCAAATCCTGAGAATATTGCGCATAAAAGATTGCTGGAAAGATTGGCATTCAGGAAATGTCTAAAACTTTCAATCATGAACATATTTGTGAAATAATTTAGAAAATTCATGATATTAGTAAAATATTAACACTGAAATCTATTCAGTCAATTAGATGAAATGAAATCATCGTTCAAACCTCCCAGTGCGCCTCAACTACGCTAATAATCAAACACATTTTTTTTAACTTCAGGCTTAGAAGTTTGACTACTGATGGTGTATTCATTAGCGTCTCCTGGCATGCAAGCTAGAATCTATGTTACTAGTTTCTTAACTTTCACCAGAATAATCAGATATACCCTATTTTGATTTCTAATGTCAAGTTGCTATGAAAAAAAAAAAACTTGCCTGAAATACAAAAAGTGTTTCTCTGGACATTAAATCAAAGATATCATACTGAGCGCAAGCATACAGGATTTGGATCAATTTCATCAGACTGTCGATTGTACAACTCAAAATTGTTGATATGTTTGATGGGGTCGTTGATGTATTATCACTTGAATCACCTTTAACGTTGAACTTTCGATAATTGTACTGATGATGCAATAAATCTAGTTGCGTCCATTTTAAAGCATTTCTATCATTTAACGCTATTGTATGATAAGTTACATTATCTGGATTTCTTTCTCTATCTGATGGTACTTTGCGCATTACACGGGCTCCTGTTGTAAAATTTGGTACCAACTTTCTGGATGTATTGGCTATAAAAACGCAAGACAAAACAGGACAGGTCAAAATTTTAAGGAAAATTAAGCCTTCTTAACTTGATTAGGTACGAGGATTTATCAAGATTAAAGGTCAACTCCGAGAGGTTACGGGAGACGGACTAATATCATATAGTAATAATAGGGATAATATCCCAAGTCCTAATTGAATTTCATCTCATAAGTTTATTTGTTAATATGCTTGTGATCCTCTGTTGTTTTTACTGGATTGAATTGTTCGACCTCTATTGGTATATGAGTTCGTGTGAGGATGCCTCAACATCGCCTTGATATTTAATACGATAATTTACTTGGTTGCGGCTAGCGCATCCTGGATTCCTCTGTTAGCCACAAGTAAGAAAATTATCATAATAAGTATTCAAGCAATATTGAGGCATCCGCATAGAAGCCCATATCCCAACAGAGGTCAAACAATAAAAATAACAAGCATATCAACAAATAGTAATAACTAATACCCATTGTACAAGAGGCGGCTGTCGTGCCTCAGTGGCCTAAAGGATAATGCCTTGGTGTTTGGAGAGATGGGTAAGAGATTTGAGTCTCAGTGAGAACAAGATCACTCACTGGGGTGCAGGTCAATCCAGCTGACGAGTCCTAAATAGGACAGAACGTGCATCCTGGACTTCTCTGCCAGCCACAACCAAGTAAACTATTAGGATTATAGTAGAGTCACTTAGCTTGGAGGATAACATTTGATGTACATTTGCAGGTAATATAATGTAATTGATAGAACGCCGCAGATTTACATTTGGCACTTGTTGACACTCTCTAGTAAAGCATATTTCTAACCTAAACTGAAATGTTTATTTCTGAGAGATCTGTACCTGAATGATTTTTTGCGAATGCCTTTGACCGCAGTATTTGGCAACTCTGGTTCAAATCTCTGAGGAAGTACTAGTTTCTGTACCAATGTTTGATGAATCTTGATTCTGATTACCAGTAAGAGGTAAACTGATATGTATGTATAGCTTCCTGCTGACTGTATACAGACAACTGAGATTCGTATTAGTAGTTTACTATGTAACCAGTACCTATTTAATAGAAACTGGCGTCAAAATTTTCAATTTTGTTGAGATTTTCAACAGTTGTTTCGAAAATGTTTTTTGTGCTTCTAATGCAGATATAATTGGTTTTTAATCCCAATTTCATATTTCAAAGAATTCAATTTCAGAAGACAATTACCGTTTATACTTGTAGCTGTTAAGTTTCTTCATTGGTTTAGACAGCTAACTTTCAACCTGGGAACAAGAGGTTCGAACTCCGCTCCGGTTACCAAGGTTTCGGCAGCCATGTGGCATCACTAGACTTCACACAATGTGTGTGTCTCATGGCTTACTGAACAGCTGCGCACAAGATTACTGACAACATTCAATTTTCTTCATTTGTAATACAAGCAATAGTGGATAATATGTTGATCAATAAATAACTATACTTACGGAGGTTTTTCAGACGTGTTTCATGAATGAAATGACGCTACCTATTCAGAATTCTGACAGTAGTCTAAGCAGTATCAGTTTCAGGAGAAAACACAGTCAATCACACCTAAAACTTTATTCAGTCCGAAAGGTGTCCTAATGGTTGTGTAACCCCTAAGGCGAAGGGTAAGTTGTTTAGCTGAGATCACTATGGTGTTTTGATTCAATGGTTGATGACTCCTTATTACGTGATTCATAATTTATCATACCAGTAGAAATATACTGACAAATTATATTTAAAATTTTAAGACTTTAGTTGGTTTTTTTTACCCTATCTTCTCTCCCACCACATTCTTCTCGTTTGTTTTACTATAATTCGATTCCTGTTTATTTTCAGTTTCTACATTGTAGTGATGTGCAGCAGCTTGAATTGCTGTGCTTTTATGAAAGGTTTCAGGGTGATCGATCCATGAACAATACAGATAAATCACAACATCTGCTCTCCAGTTTGTTTTCATCTGCAGTTCTACTTGTAAAATATGTAATTAATTCGTTGTTGAAAACAGTAACCAATAGTCATTAAATAATGATTACTTGATTACTGCCATGCACCAGTAGTGTTTTTTATAGTTTAAAGACATATGCTAACATGTACTCAAATGCACATCAACTCAAATTGTTATGCTGCAGAATAGCACACAATAAAATTATAGGAAATCAAAATATATTATAATCCTTACAAAAGCTATGAAAAGTGAATCAGAGATATAGAATAATAAGACCTTCCAGCTTTGAAATAAAATAGAAAGTGAACAACTATTCCCTGTTGTAATTACTTATGAGCTACGTTGTTGATAGCCACCATCTATTAATTTCTAAAATCTGAAGAATGCAAGTTATCAAGTTTATATTACCGTGAGAAGTTCAACTTAAGTGTTATGATTTCATAGTCCAGTTCCTTGTCTTTTTGTTTAAAATCAGCCAATCCCATCAGTTAACTTATGATGCTATTGATTAAGTCCGTGCCTAAAATTTACATTGCTGGAGGTACTCACCACACCTAGACCATCGAATTCGGTCACTAAATCCACTGTCCCGGGAAACAAACAGTATAGCGTCTTTATTAGAACTGTCTCTGAAAATTGCCAACTTATAAATCTTGAGGGAATAGTTGAGCTATCTACGTCTTTGACTAACGTGTTTTCTGAAAGTCCTGAGTTCAGTTAATGCCAGAGTAGTGTGTTTGAGATGTGAAAGAGTCTTATATTAGAATGAAAGAGCTATCATGTGCTCTCAGGTTCCCAACGTTTCTCCAATTTATGTCATTCCGAGATGAATACTACCTTGATATATATATATATATATATATATATATATATATATATCATCTGCTTTCAATTTGTCTTTTACTTATGCAGAGCTTCTTTCAATATCAATAATCCAAGAAACGAACAAAGGGAATGGGTAAGAAGTTCATAATCTAATAAATCAGTTAGTCAGCAAAAATACACAAACGAATTAGAAGTCAGTTTAATTCACTTAAGAACAATATGAAGAAATTGGATTGAAGGGAAAAACACCGCAAGAATTGTACGACTTATTCCCAGTCTGACAACATTGAATAAAAGAAATAGAAGAATAAGGGTGTATGATGAACATCAGAATTGTTTGTTGATAGATATAAAGGATAATAACAATAATTTTTGAGGAAACATTAGGTATCCTTTCTAGCTTACTCAACCTTGGTAAATCTTGTAATATTCAACTCTAAGTATCTTATGCAATTGGCTACAACTCATTTTACATGACAATCTACAACCTTGAAAACTTCACTTCGAATTATTATTATTGTTGAAGTTTATCTGATTCAGGTTCATATAGTCAATATTTTAGACAAATTATAAAAACGGAACAGAAACAAAAATTTATCAACACTTACCACTGTCGAAATTATTATGAAGTGAAATTTTGCACAAATTATTACAATTTATCTAATTATCATTACAGTTAAAGATGAGGTAGGAAAAAAACAATTGCTTCAAAATAAACTTACGATAAATTAGCTCTAGTGCTGCAATAAAAAGTTCACAGTAAACATCTGACATTTCCCAATCTGATGGATCTACAGGTGGCTTCGGAGTGATCAGACTTCTTCTCTCTCCAGGATTTAAACTTAAAGCTTCAAGAATGGCTAGTATTTGAGCGGAAGAGCTAGGAAGTAATTGACTGAGGTAGCGTTCAGTTTGTGTTCTTGGCCAAGAATGCTGAAATTAATGAAAACAAATTTGAAGTACACTTTTATGAGTATTAGTTATATATATATGCATATATATTGGTACTTCATTGTTTACCTCTAGTGTTAGCTTTCTGGTTTTCCCCTTTGAACAAGTGAAGTAGTTACAGCAATTATGATTTAGATTGATACGCAAAATTTTATCAAAATAAGATAGAAAGGTTTTATAGTCTTACACACAATGTCATTGAAAACACTGTTAACAGTCAATTCAGAGTGGAAACAAGAATATGACAAAAATGTTGAAAACTTAATCAAAATCCTTGAAAGATAAAATTTCAATTGAAGGTCTGTAAGTAAAAAGGTAAAATGAAAGTAAATTTGAAAAATATCTAAAAGATGATGTTACATATTTAAACAACAAGTGAATTAATGATAAAGTCGTAATCATTTGAAATTGGAATCAGGAATGTAATTTTTACTTATGATAATAACATCTTGTAAACAGAAATTATTCTGCTACAAACAAATGGCTAATCATTCAATTAACGTAGATGACCTGTCAGTTCCTAGCATATTTTGTGTTAAATGTTGTGTTTTACTTGATGGAGTGAATTTAAAAAGATGTAGTAACTTTTGAATAGTAGTTAGCTGTTTAACTGTTTTCGAACAGAATATCTGCTTTATTGTAATTATTATTTCTACATGAAAAAGTGTAATTGACTGAAATAACAAAATGATACATATGATATACTCAAGATTTTTCCCTTAGATTTGTTAAGAAAAAAAATATTCGGCTCATTATGTCATAGCTGTTGAATCGTATAAACAATGAACAAGATAATACTTTGAGAAACATATGGTTTTTATGCTAACCAGCTACATATACAAATTTAGAAAGAAACTCATCTATTTTAGCAGTTAACATGTTGTTGATTTATTTAACTTTCAATACACACAACATTAACTTGAAAATAGTTTTGACCATAGAAATGAGAATCATTTAAATATTTCACTAGCGGATAAAATAAACTCTCCTTAATTTTTTTCTATTTCATTGAGAATCCAATTTTCTAGTTATCTTCTGTTATTCTGTCAATATGAAAATCAGTCTGTTGAAAATAACTTTCTCAAATATCCCTATTCATGTAAAATTTACCTAAAATCAGCATGATACTACAATGAATAAATGTACACATTGTAAACCACTATTTCTTGTCTTAATCACTACAATTGTACTAATTCATGTCAAAATGTATACAGAAATGTATGGTTAGTTGTAATATAACTTTGAAAAATAAATACTGAACTTCTCAACATTCAGAGTGAAAAATATGTGGTAATTTTTTTGTTTGTTTCTAGCAGAGGAATCCAGGACTCGTGTTTCCTACCACTTGTGACCCATCAGCTGCATGCACCTGCATGTCGATGAGTCACAAAGATCTCAAGACCCCTGCTTCAACGCCACATCGTAATCCAATACGCTACTGGGTCGCCAGAGCCAATTTTGGTGCGTCGAATGTCACTCGTTATTTATTGTTGGAGGATTATTTCATCAATAAATGAAAACTCATATCCTTTACACAACTAGTGACTCTCATAACTCAGTAGTCTAATGAATACCACTCTGGGATTTGAAATGGAGGGTTGTGAGCTTGAATCTTAGTGGGAACAAATTCATTTACTGGGATCCAGTCACATCCGGTTGACAAAACCCACATTCTGGATTCCTCTGCTAACAACCAACAAGTAGATGACATAATGAAACTTCATGCAGTATCAAGCTATTCTCACAACAGCCAATTTGCCAACGGGAATTAGTTAACTCCACCCAATATGAAAAAAGGATAACGCAACTAACAGAAAATCTAAAAACCAAGTCTAACTAAGTATACATGAAGTGAAGAGATTCGTAACAACATCCAAACCAATGTCAGTGATCCATTTACCAACTTTCAACCAGTTATCGAAAACCAACAAACAAGTTTAGCATAAAATATTAACAACATGCTTACATACAAGTAACCAGTCAAAAATTCATTTACTTGTAAAATTGTGGCGAATTCAACTTTTACTTTTGGTCGAAGATAACCTTGCGGACGTTTACGAGATTCAAAGACCGATCGTTTGAATACAAGCGAAGATAGCTGTTTATACATTTGACGAAGTGTTACATTTATGAAGATGAAATATGGAAAAGATTGGAAGAAAAAATCAAAGTTCAGAGAAATAACTACAGTTACACAATGAAATCAGTGTAGTTATTGAGTCAAAATCCTTTAAATTATGATACATTAATCTTGTTGAATGTCAAGTATAAGTTACCAGCGCAAAGAGCTATGCCCAAGATTTACTTTATTTATGCTGATTCAAAAATGCATTTTCAATGCAGTGTCAATATCTCTCGTCAGGCATGCATTAATCTGTGTTAGACTGGAGGAATTTATATTTAAAAGATGAACTATTTTCAATTTCTCTAAAGCTAAACCTCTCTAATATACTTTTGTATACCTTTGTTTTTTCAGCTGACTATAGAACTCATAAGAAATTGAGCTTTAATATCAAATCTAACAGTAAACCAAGTTTCATTTTCCTAACTGATACGTAAAGGACTTAATATGTGCATTTTGTTGTGTCCACCAAAATGGTGATCTTCAACGACTCCTAGGGGGGAAACAACTTCTTTCACTCCTGTGCTTATGTTCCACTTTATTATATAAGACAATAATATCGTTGGTTATTATTACTTGAAACCAATAAGTGATTCAAAACCCAATAGTATGAATCCGTATAATTTACGGGGATGAGTGTTGCAAATTTGAAAACTGTATATTATTTTCACTTAGTAATCAATTCAATTTTCGATCGGTAGACTCCATAGTACATTATTCTATGAGGATCTAAAACAGCATAAGACTAACCTTTCAAAATAAACCGGTATTTTTAGAGTATAAACTGATTATTTAGCAATTCGCTTGAGACCGTTTAGTTTTCCCGTTAGATTTTATAAATTTTAATAAGTTGAACGTATTTTCTCGGAACACCCAATCTTTGGCACACTTTACCTTGTTGTGGCTAGCAAAGGAATCCAGGTTGCGAGTTTCGTTCTAGATGGGACTAGTCAGCTGGATTTATGTCCATCCCACTGAGACTCAAAGTTCGCACACATCTCTTCAAAAGCCAAAGAGTTATCCACTAGATTGCTGAGGCTCCATAGCCTCCCTTTGTACAACCGACACTAGTTATTACTATCTGTCGGTATACTGGTAATTCTACGTCTTTATACTGGATTCATTTGACCAATCTCAGTTGACATACGGCTACTGAAGGGATGTGCATACGGATTGATTCCCAGTGGAGACAACACTCACTGGCGTGCAAATACATCCAGCTAAGAAGTCCTAAATATGACTAGATGCGCATCCTGGATTTCATCGCCAGCCACAACCAAGTCAATTATAACAATAAATACTTAGGCAGTATCGAGACATCTACATAGGAGGCCATATGCCGACAGAGGCATGGGGAACACTTCAAGACCCTTCCACCAAACTGATACCTTCGAGACTGATAACACAATGAATGAAGGAGTACTTCGTGATAATTCAACAATGACATACTTCAATAGCAGCTACATGAAATATAGGAATTAGTTCAGCTGGCGCCAAGCTTTTATCCCGGTTGTATAACTGGATCAACTCAGAAAAATCAACAATTGACTTTCTCGCTAAAGCCTATGTAACAAAACAAGCAAGTAAATGTGATTTAACAATAATCAGTTCATGCTTGTTTAACATTGTTTCTGATATATACTTGAGAAATTATAAACTTATAAGCTTGCTTTACTGTCGATCAGCAACGCCTGAAACAGAAAGACCCTCTGTCACACCTAGATAGATATGTTCCTCTAATGTAACATTAAACACTAAATAGATATCTGACCACTACATAGACGTACATTTAATCACTAAGTATTAATGAAAACAACTCTTTGAATGTAAGTTTGAACTGTGCTTGGTTTCCACTATACACTTCATCTATGACAAGCAGAGTTTTAATTAAGGCACACGCACGAATAAATAACTTAGGAATATGAGCTATTATTTGAATTAGACCAATTTTAACTGTTCAACATATAAAATATTCACTTGCTGAATCTCTTAAAACTTAGAGTGAATAAATTATTTCTTCTGACACAGTATGAAACATAAAATCACAGTATGCATCAAGCAAGTGTCTAAGATAAGAATGGTATTCCTTGCACCGTTTGATTAGCTGTAAAAGTGCAGATGTAGGGCTATATTATTATCAGTCCTCTCCCCTCATAGTTTTCGATATGTAGGTGATATCAGAAATCTGATATATAAGTCATGGTATTTCCAGAAAACACTGAACCAATGCAGTTTTTTGAGTCGCTTTATTTACCTTCCTATGACATCAAAAAACACTCTGTCTATCAAAGTTTCAAGTGGTACTGCTATTATCACATGATTGTATACGATTACATGTGTTTGTAAGCCTTTCAAAGAGGTTTGCATCTCAATTCATCAAAAGTTACTCAATCTAAAATGAAATGATGATTTCTAGTAGTATTTGTAATATATGGACTCAATATTTCACTTTATTAATTGTGGTTATTGTAAGTCAGTGTAATTCTTATGTAGTATTTCGTTACGGTGTCTACTGGTTTACTGAATGTGGACGTGAACGGATGAAAAGACGGAAGTTGTACGGATAACAATAATATCCATTTGTACTAAAACTTATCTTAAATAAGAATATAAGTTGACGGTTTATTAAGGATTTCTCGATCTTATCCTGCAACATTTTAGGAATAAGTAGTGAGCGATATGTTTAGGATACTCTGTTATTCACCAAAAACAATATGAGCAATCAAAATAGAATAATGCCTGAAATCTCACAGATGAATATCACTGAAAAAATAAAGACGCACTCAGCAACCTTGAGGTGGTTAGTGCTGCAGGCAGTGAGCCACATCTTTTGTTTGAAGGTCACTGATAATACCGGGCTGACAAAACCTTGGTAGATGGGGTGGTTTCTGACCTCGTGAACATCGGTTTAAAGACAGCTTCTTAAGTTAATGAGTCCCAGATCCATGAATAAAATGCTCATCTTAACAAGTTTTCTAAATACTTTACAGAATTTCCTAAATTAAGTTTATCGTTTCAGTAAGAACTGCATTCATACGGTACTTTTCAATCTCAGTGAGCGTAACCTGGTTCAAACTGAGTCACTATGACACAGCATTTTTGCTGACCTTCAATTATCTCTTAACCTCTCCACCGGGCACAAACTTTTGTCGACCTTAATTTCAATATTTCATCATCCACTTGTTCTTGAGCAGATGCACTACTATGCCAGTTTTTAGTGTGATTTAACCGTCTCCATGTTAATCTGTCAAAAAAGCCTCTAACGCAATAAACAGTTTTCACATGTATGCTGTGACCTGCAAATGCACACTTGTCCTAAAGTCACTGCGATACAATAACTTTTTTAAATCTGAATAACTTTTATAAGAAGTAGAACTAGTTGTCACAATTAATAATTACACTTTAATATTTCTACACACTAATTCAAACCAAATAATTCAAGTCCCCGTAATGACGCAAAAATTAGGTTAGAACTAAAAATATGCTCAACCAATACACTTTTGTAACTTCTACAAAGCTAAGAAAATAGCAGCTTGTCTATTCACCAAACAACTTCATATTTATCACTACTTGGATACACACTGTCAATATATCAACAAAGGTTAGTGGTTTTGTGTTGATTTGCTGCATAGTAAGAGTTCAAGATTTATTTTCTCCAAACTGCAACCTTCTTATTCAATAAATCCTTCACTTAAAATATTGATTACGCCCATGTATGCTTATCCAGCACTTAAACTTCCAAATTTCCACGCCTATCATGTATTTTTACTTATTTACTGGTAAATGCGCAATAAAAACTTAAAGGTCTACGTTTAGATGATGAACTTTTTTACGTGCTTCTATTTATGAACCAAAGAAAGAAAGAAAAATGCGTAATGTGTTTATACACTCAGGAATTCTTAGGACACTAGTTTACTAACAGCAAATACCATTCGCCTACGATAGCATGTCAAAAAAGGTACATCAGTCGATCACTTGTATAGTTTTTTTTCCACCTTTTGTCTTTCCTCTTTTCATTTGGTCATGTACTTTTCACGATAAAAGTTTAGTTCTTGCTAATCTCGGAAGCATTTCGGCTTTAAGTTGAGGAGTGATAGGTTGCATTAGTGATTCAGTGCCCACATTGTACTCTCGGAGGAAATATCCGTAGTATTAGCTGCAAAATGATCATACACAGTATTCGTCCGCATTTATTAAAATAATTCTTAGTCATCTTTAGGGATTCCAAGAAAACATATGTCCCAATTTTGAAATAAACTATTAATTTATGATCAAATCAGTAGTTTTTAAAGACTTTTGTGCAAGGGCTACTTAAGTAGTACGGCATAAAATAACTTACTTAATTTTTCTGCCCAAACAATATTGTTGTATATATTATAGTAAGCTGACCTATCAAAAGTAACTTGGGATGCTATACTTTTTAGAAGGATGGCTGAAGATATCTAACAATAAATGACACAAACGAAATGCAACGCCTAAAATAAGGCATGATGTACAATTATTACTACATTGAACCGTCAGTTTTAGGGGTCAATGGAGATCAAATCGAACAGAATGGTGTACCTCAGATGCCTCACTGCAACCGCAGTACTCTAGGACTTTGCTCGTAATAACAGAAACATGGAGTTTCAGTTTGATAAGATCCAGATCGTTGGATGACAAACTTCGAGATACGAAGAAGTAAACCCATAGTAAGTGCAATGTTAATGAGCGATGAAAATTGCTCCATGAAATGAGATAAATTTTCAGAAAATTGATTGTATCTGGAATAAGCATTATTAATAGTACCGCTTATACTTGTTTTGATCAACTCGTTGCTTCCCAAATTTCTACTGATAGTCAAAAGCACTTTTTTGTGTTGGTCATGGATACTTGGAATATAACACAAAGTCCCATATAAAGGACTATCGGATAACAAATATTCAAACGTTCGAAGAGCAATTACGTAATCGATATTCTAAAAACGATCTATTAGGTTATTTTAGAAGCATACGTTTAGAAAAATCTGAAAATAAGATGTCTTGACAGTATCCAACACTATCGGATTTTCCGTGTAGGTACAACTAATTACGTGCCTAAATCGAAACAGAGAGTTCATCATTTTCGTAGACCATGCCTTATATGGTTTCTATAATGAAGAATTATTTTACCTCTTCATGCTTAAGTAGGAAAAGACTGCTGTCTTTTATCCATCTTAGTAACTCAGCCTCGGAAAATGTTTGGTACACTTTTTTTATATTGCATTTGCTGAATTTCGTCAACATTATCACAGAAAACTAACATTTCTTCCTCGGAAAAATATAACCAATCTCTGTTCATAACTATATTCTTGTTTAACTGTGTTCACAAATCACTACTAAAATAATTGTGAACTTCAAAACAACTAGAGCGGTTTACTGTTGTCATAATAGAATATGCATTCGATGCTACTAAACAAATGACCCCTTTCAGCATCGTACATCCAACACCGATAGGGCAGGGAGAGAAGACTGACAGTTTTCACTCTTTCATTTTCAGTTCTTGAGGCCTGGTCCGTATTATTCGGTTTCCTTCCGCAATGGACAAGGAAATCCCTTCTGCTTTCCATTCTTTAGCTTTGGTTACGTGAATGTTTCGTGGACTCGAAATTCATAGGTTACTTGTGCAGCTTTAGGTTCCTGAACAGATTAGGAACCTTTCTTTGCCTCTCTATATGTGAACGTGCCTTGATAAGAATGGCAAGATAGTGGAGATTTTTGTGTGTGGATTACTCGATATATAAAAGCAGGTAGTATGGGTCAAGTTAACCTCGGGTGGTTAACTAGTTCACCAGTTAATAGCCGGTCCTAAGCCCAGGTAGACAGGGAAGGTTGGGCAAAGGGCTAGCAACCCTACACTGTAAAACAAATCTAACTGCTAAAGAAACTTCATAGCACAAACAAAATATAAAAAATAAAAAAATATTATTCCCTGCTGGAATCGGAGAGGCGAAATAACGCCGATTGATGAGTGCCTTCCGGAAGCCAATCGGCCGGGTCGATGTGTCTTCTCTCGATAAAAGCGAAAATAAACGCGGGGACATGGAATGTCCGCACCATGTGTGAACCCAACAAGGCAGCCCAGATTGCAAACGAGATGAGAAGGTATCACAATGAAGTGCTTGGAATTTAAGAAAGCAGACGGAATGGGAGTGGTCTCTCCAAACTGTCAACTGGAAAGTCAGTAGTCTACTCCGGTCACACAGACAACAACCACGAGCACCATGGGTTTGGAGTGGCTATCACGATGTCCACAACAGCGTCGAAGGCTCTCATGCAGTGGGAATCTGTCTCCTCCATGATCACAACAGCAAGGTTCAACTCAAAAGGAAGGAAGGAAGGTCACAATCATACAGTGCTACACTATGCACCTATAAATAATGCAGAGCAAGAGAAAAAGGAGGAATTCTACAGACAACTGCAATCAGCACTGGACACGACCCCACTCCGGTTGGCGACATCGAAATTTTAATGCGTGTGGTGACATGAATGCCAAACTGGGAGGGGACAACACGGGAAGAGAACCAACCATGGGCCGGGAAGTGCTGGGTGAGGTGATGAACGAGAATGGAGAATTGTTTGCACAATTCTGTGCATTCAACGATTAGCTGATTGGAGGCCGGGCAGTGTGTTCAAGCACAAGGATATACACAGTGCGAGAGATATGAATTTCACCAGACACATTAAACATCAGATAGACTTTATCTCAATCTCAACAGAGTCGGGACGCAGCCTACTTGACACAACGTCAAGAAGAGGAGCACATGTAGGCTCACATCACTCACTGTCTAGTCCAACGAACCTACCTTCCAAATCAAATTAAAAGCCTTCAAGGAAGCTGGTGATAGACCGCAATTAAAGCACAACACCCTGAAACTCAAAGACGAAACTACAAAGCACATATTCACGTCAGCCATCAAAACAAAATGGGAGATATCGAGCAACATCCCTGAAGAAACCTATGCGGATGAACAATGGAACTCTCTGAAAGCTATATGGAAAGAAACCTGCACAACCGTATCAGGAAGGAAGAAGAAAGAAGATAAGGAAGGAATGGATATCGACGGACACATGCAAGCTGATAGAGGAGGGAGAGGAATATGGTGATGGTGAAGCAGTGCAAGGATGCACAACGGCCACAAGAGGAACTAAGTACAATGTTTAAGACACTTCACTGGACAAAGAAGTCAAGAACAGTGCACGCAAAGACAAAAGACACTTCTACGAAGCACTGGCAAGTGAAGCAGAACACGCTGCAGACTGATGGTAGGAGAGACAGAGACCTGACAGCATTGCATCAAATAACTAGGGAGGGGAGAGATCAACACAGATGAAACCAATAAAGATGATGAAGACAATTTAATTACGAAAGAAGAGAAACAAAGGGAACGATGTGCCGACCACTTTAAGAAGCCCTTGAATCGACCATCACAACCTGCACTTCTTCCAGAAATGCTAACAGCAGCCTGGCCACGGAACTACAAGTGAACATAAATCCTCCAATATATATCGAAATCCTGAGAGCCATAGAGGAACTGAAATGTGGGAAGCAGCAGAACCGGACGGAATCCCGCCACAAGCACTGAGAGCAGACGCAGAGACAACAACGGACATGTTCACATGGCTATTGCAGAAGGTCTGGAAGGAAGAGAAGGTACCTGGCCATTGACTGGAAGAAGGGTTACCTTGTCAAACTGCCGAAGAAGGGAGACCTCATTGTTTGCAAGAACTGGCACGGAATCACTTTCCTGTCCACCCAAAGCAAGCAAAAGACTAAGCCTCATCATCCTGGAGAGACTAAAGGATGCGCTGGATTCAAGACTACGACCGAAACAAGCTGGCTGGCTGGATTCAGGAAGTACAAATCATGTGCCGACCAAATTGCTACGCTTCGCATCATCATAGAACAGAGTACAGAATGGCAATCAACACAACTCTACCTCAACTTCATCGACTTTGAAAAGGCCTTTCACAGCGCTAACCGAGAGGTAATTTGGCAGCTGCTTCAACACTATGGAATACCACAAACCTTTATCAGCCTCATTCAGCGACTATATGAAGACGCCTCATGTCAAGTAATTCACAATGGGAAGCTCAGTGATGCTTTTGAAGTGAAGACAGGAGTAAGACAAGACTGCCTGCTGCCACCCGTGATCTTCTTGATTGCGGTCTACTGGATCATGCAACAAAGAGTGGGGAGCGAGAAGGGGGGGAACCCTGGACCACGGAAGACTTGGGTTTCGCCGATGGCTTGTGTTTGATGTCGCACAAACCTGAAGACCTACAGACGAAAACTAACAGGTTGTCGGAAGAGGCAGTGAAGGTGGGAATTCAACTGAATATGGAGAAGGCAGAGGTGATGAAGATACCCAAGCAACCAACACCACCACCAACAACAACAACAACAGACCCCAATCACCATCAGCGGGAGAAACTTAAGGGAAGTAGCCTCCTCCACCTATCTAGGCAGCACTGTTTCAACTACAGGCGGCACTGACGAGGATGTCAAAGTCAGAATCGGAAAAGCAAGACGGGCGATACTTGCCTGAAACCAGTACGGAGATCTTCCATAATCAGCATGTGGAACAAGATCCAGATTTTCAACGCCAACGTCAAATCAGTGCTTCTGTATGGCTCAGAGACTTGGCGCGTTACGAAAAGCATTTCCAACAAACTACAGACATTCATCAACAACTGCCTACGCTGGCTCGTTACTGAAGTTCAGATGGATAGCCAGAAAGAATAAGCAACAAGTAACTCTGGCTGGGAACGAAACAACCGAGAAGCTATAGCTGAACAAATATGCACTGGAAGGAAGTGTCCCTGGCCACCATTTCTTCGAAGTTGAAGATGGTGTTCAGGATGTCCGAGAATTCTAGCCCCAAATCTTTTCCTGTGGATTTTTGGGTATAAGCACCGTTGCTAAACCTGTGTTGGAATCCGAGATCTATGCTTCATCGGTATTGACACACATTACTTTTCACTTTTCAGGTCAAAGCTCAAGCTGTCTTCCTGCGACCAGGGTTCCAGTTGCCAAAGGTCACGTTGGAGTGTTGTACAGTTGACCTCCTCGTTTACCGCCCTCCAGCCTTTGATGGGCGAAACTTGGCGTGGCAAATCGTTGAAGAACAGAGAGGAGAGGTGGACCCAGGTTTCCTCAATGTGATGCCTCCGATGTTCGTGGTTTTCCACCAGTTTGTATTTCATTCAACTTTGGGTAGAACCGTCTGAATTCTAGGCACGTTTTGAACCCGAAAGGAAGAGGTTCACTTGCGCGGTTGACGCAATCTCATGAACGTGGTTTGTGGACGAGATACTATCGAATGCTTTAGCTGGGTCAAGAAACATAACATGTGCTAGGTTCCATTTGTGCGGCTAAAAGTCCGGTCATCCTAGGGGGTCAGCAGATTGGTCGCTACTCCGAAGGCCATGCTAAGTGGCACGGAGGATATTTCTTCAGTTACAGTATTCCCAGATCCCATCGGCTGCCAGGCTTTCTAATACACTGAACCATGTAGGGAGTTGGGTGGCCGGTATGTAGCTGTCAAGACACTTATTGGCTCCTCTAGATCTCTCGCTTCCATTCTCACAAGGGTCTGCACTGTTTGAGTGAGTGCTTGAGGAGATCGCAGTTTGGTTCCTTGAGTGCATCGGAGTAATACTTTAGGATTGCCAGCCGGACTTGCCTGGACGGTGCCCGGAAATATTTCCCGATACCTTTTTCATGCGATGAGGGTATGCCGGGATTATCCGCTATTTGTGCTGCGTTGCATCGTACCACTTCGGGTTCAGTGTCAGAAGTAATACATTGCGCTTCGAGGTGTAAGCTAAGAATCCCAGGTATCTCTAGTCTGTTTAGCAAATTTCCGCTGGCGTGCATCACTCTGTCAGAGATGTCCGGCATGAGCCAGAATTTTGTCACAAATATGACATCACAGTCCGGGTGTTTGTGGAGCGTCCCCATCTATGCTACCTTTCTCATTAGTCCCCTGGGGTTGCTGCGTTTACACGTTAGGGTTTACCCAATGGAGGGGGGAATAGTTACATAATTCTGTAAGGAGGGGGCTTGCGTAGTTTGGTCTGAAACCATCGGCCCTCATCGTGATGACGTCACCCAGCCTTGTGCTATTTACTTTCAGCTTGTGGTGGGCCGTGGTTGCGGGGGCTTCAAAACTCAACGTATCCGACTCGCTCGAGCCTGTGTGACGACCATTGACTCCGGAAGTTTTGGCGGCTGTTAATCTCCTTCTTGCTCGGTGTGTTTGGCTCACTCTCGTGCTTGCTTATGGCCCCCAATGCCAT